TCACTCTTGTTATTTTGAGGATTACAAAAATATTGGCTGAAGTTTGTTTTGAATCAGAATTTCTAATCGGCATTCACTTAATGGCTATTCTTTCTTTTCTTTTTTTTTTTTTAAATCTTTACTTTTAACAAATCTGGACAATATTTGACCATCTCCAGTTCAAAATAATAATAATAAAAATATCTAGATTCAGACTTGAACTATTCCACACCAAACATTTTTTTGTTTAAATCAGTTTGAAATTCATGATGTACATGACTAAGAGTTTGACACAAACAAAACAAAACGTGACGCTCTGTCCAACCTGGATTGAAAAATTCTCTGATCATAAACTGTTTGAAACACAGTTTACATCTGGAAACCACCAGAGAATGAGTGCATTCTTGCAAGAACTGCAACTAATATTTGATGTGCAATTTGAAAGTTTTGCTTTACTTTTACAACTAAACAGCTGATTTGAGCCGACTCTGTAAGATTCTCTCTAAGACCAAACATCACTGAGCAGTTTTATAAGCTGAATAGTTCAGAGGACAGATGGAGTGGAGCACTAGAGGTTGGGGCTATGGGGGCTCCAGAGGGAGGGTATAGATTGGGATTATGGGGGTGCATGAGGGAAAGACTCTTCACTGTGTTTTCTATTCAACCTAAGTCCTCTAAGACCTCCTTATCTCTTCTGAGAGCAGCAAACTGAGATCTGATCTAATGCCAAGTGCCACAAGTGAGTGTGTGCGAGCGAGGCACAGCACTTTGATGAGAGCCTGCTGGGGATGGGGATGTGTTTCTGGGTAATGAATGAGTTCAGAGTCTCTCTCTCTGCGCGTGTGTGTAGGGGTGTGTGGGTGTGTGTGTGTGGAGGGGGGGTGGGGGGGATGGACGCCAGTTAACATTTAAGGATGGTGAATTAGTCTGCAGGTTTCTATATTTCTGTGCATGGAAACCTGCAGAGGCAGAGTGTCTGTGCACTCTGCCTCCTTGCTGAAGGGTTGTTTGGGGTATTCTGTGCAGGTTTTGCTCCGGGAGGGAGGAGGGTTCTTGGGGTCTCGCATTCAGATGTAATTAGCCCAGACAAAGGCCTGGTTAAAGCTAGAATCCTCCAAGCTCCCTCTTCCTTTGATTGTGAGGGCCAGCTGTGGAGGAATGGCCATTATCTCCCTGTGTCCGGCAGCATAAAGAAGCCCCCACCCTCTTCTGCCCCAGTTACCCCTGGTGTTAGGGTTCCCACAGGGGGAGGGACATGAGAGGGTCACATATTGGTCCAGATAAATTGCCAGTTCACTCAGAGAAATTGCTTCATCTCACACTTGAATCATGCTTTTTTTTTTTTTTCCTCAAAGTGGCAAAAACGAGCAGCTGGCACTACTTCCACAGGAACAGCAAACAGAAATGGATTTCACATCTGGATTATTTAGATTCTGTATAATCCACATTCAATTCTTTCAACCACCTTTATTTCCCCCTAGACACACGGAAGCATCCATCTGTGGATGCTTCCCTGATACTATGTACTTTTTAAATCATAAATATCTCATACAGAGTTTAGCCTGCACATTGGGACACTTAGACCCATTAGGTTTGGAAACAAATTGAATCTTTACAGCTACGGGGCCTCATAATTACTGTTAATTTAACGGTCAGAATCTTCATCATTAACCCTCACTCTTGAATACATGCAGGCAAACTGAGGCAGCATGTGCGCGAACCTGCTGAGTCGGTTAGCAGCCATACCCAGCAGCCTTTGACTGAATTAACAGCGACCCCTTCGACTTGTAAGAACAGGCCTCGCATCATTTATGCATTATTAAGTTCTGTAATTGGGCAGCCAGTAGTTTGCATATTAGTCTATTAGTGTAATATGTTTTGCTTGTCTCAACACACGGCTTGCCAAAACCCCTGGTGACACATTTAGTAATTCTCTGAATTGTGCCCCCGATCATAAGTTGCTGTTCTTTCGATCGCAGTAAATTTACGTCAGTTTAAGCCAATGCATGCCCTGCTTGTTCATTCACAGTGTTTGCTAATTGACCCATTATTATACAGCACCTTGCAAAAGTATTTATAGTCCTTGAACTTTTTTACACATCTTCAGGCTGCAGCCATTAATTCTAGTGTATTTTATTGGGCTTTTATGTGATACATCAACACTCGGTAGGGTGTGATTGTGAAGGGGAAGGAAAATGATGGACGGTTTTCTAAACCTTCAGAAAGCACAAGCTGTAAATTGTTGCGTGCACATCCAAGCAGCCCTCCTTGGTGTTTTGCACCAGCGTTTGCTCCCTTTTATGCAGTAAGGTTTTTGGTCTCCAAGCTTCTCGGTAATAGAAATGAAAATGTCTTCCCTTTCTTCGTGGTAAAAGAACTCAAGCTCGGTCAGATTTAATGGAGAGTGTCTGTGAACAGCAGTTTTCAATGTGACTTAGGTTCAGACTTTGCCTGGACCATTCTAACATTTATATTTTCTTTTCCAAACCCTTCTTTTGAGAATCTGACCGATTTCCTGGCTCTGCAGCTGGAATGTGAACTTCTAGCTTCAGTTTATTTTGCTCAGTATCGAGTTTTCAACTGTGTTTTGCTCCATCCATCTGCTCTAGCCAACTTTGCTCCTGTTGAAGAACAACATCCAGCATAAAGCTGCCACCACTGTGCTAAATCATTATAATGCTGTCTTCAAAGTGATGGGAAGTGTTAATTATCCGAAGTGCATAATGTTTGACATGCATTTGATAAAATTGTAAATATACTGCCTTTTATTTCTTTGATCACCTTTGAAAGCAAATTGTTGCAGTGGATTTTAACCAGGGGCATCAGAGTAAAGGGGATGAGTAAAAATGCATCAGACTCTAGATTGTATTTCTTGAGTTAATTTAAAAAGCATTTAGCGTTTTCCTTCAGTTTCACAATTGCACTATCCATTTTGTCTGTCACATAAAATCCCAATAACATGCAATGAAATTTGATGTTGTAATGTGACACATATGAACACATGAAAAGGGTGACAGTTTCCTCTCACAATGTGCTAATAATCTGACTGCAGATGTGTATCTGTTGGGCTCTCCAAGTTTCTTTTTTTTTTTCCCCAAGTTATCTTTTTTTGCTGTGTTTGCCCCACATTGAGCCAATAAAATCACATATCCCTTAAACTCGTTGCAAGTAGGTCTAGACAGACCCTGGGGGCTTTGGGTGGATTTCAGGGGGACTCAGCAGAATATGATTTTTTTTGTAATTTTTTTTCTTTTAATATCACTCAACTAACTTACAGACGGGATGCGGCAAAATCAAACCTGCCAATGATAGTGAAATGTCTCAAATATCTTACAGAATATTAGTTGAATTAATATAGAATGGTGTAAGCTCCATATATGTAGAACAGAGAACATCAACCTTTTGAATTCTTCAAAATGTACAACATTCTGTACATATTGATGTTATTAATACGAAACATGGGGAAAAATCAAATGAAGAAGACATGATTCAAGATTATTTTATTATAGAAGGTGTCATGCTTATCGGCACATATTATTTATCAATGCTTTGGGTAAATTATGGCTACTTGCTCTTGACAAACTGGAGATATTTCTATCATTTTCAATACTTCTGCTGCAGCTTGGAGCTGTTTTTAAGATGATGATTTAAAATCTGCAACACACTCATTACAAATGACAATGTGCTGCTCTTATTTATGCAACACCAAAGGAAACTCTATGAATGAGTTTCAAAAACTAGAAGTAGTGTGCCACAATTCTCCTCATCAACTGGATTGGACATACACTGAGGTAAATCTTGTTCATGTGCAAGACTTGGATACTGATTTGTCAGATTTATTCACAAAATTGGCATTGCTGATCTGGAAGAATTTTGTCCCCAATCTTTTTTTTTTTTTATCATTAGCATTATTATTTTAAATATGGTACAATTTTCTCTATATTTCAAAGAAAAATGTAATTAAATTGACTGTTTGTCTATCAATAATACATCACATCACCACTATCATTTCATGAGAAGAGGTTAAAAATATGTCATCGTAGAGGTAAGGAAAGCATTGCATTATAACAAATAAAGGAAGTAGAAAAGTCAATTTTTGTGGAAAATCAAGTTGTTTTACTTCTTCTAATTTGTAGAAGTGGTAAAGAATGCTACTTCTACAAATTAATTTGTATACTAAACTAAGAACATGCAGAATAAATTAATTTTCCAAACATGCTTCATGAATTTCAAAAAGATCTGGTTCATTTGCTCGGTCAATTCAAGCTCCTCAGAATTTTTTAGGAGGAAAACAACCCCCCCTCGTGCTACTGTGGGCGCATCCATCTCCAAAGTTTACCCAACAAGCAGGTGGAAGGGGGCACGGCGCACTGAGGGATCCATTCTTGCAGCCTCCTCTCTGTTTGGCCCCTCAGCTGCCCTCTCTGCTCGCCCCCTCCCCTGGATTATTTGTCCCCGACGGTCCGGGCGAAGGGCGCAAAAGAAGCTGCGAATTGCAGCTGTGACGTGGGCGTCGTTGTTCCATTCACCGCGTTCGCCATGGCAACGGGGCAGAAGCTGGAAGCACGCGGTCCCTCTCACACACACTCTCTCTCCCTCTTTCTCTCTCCCTCTTTCTCTCTCTCTATCTCGCTCTCCTTGGACGGCGTCCTGAGGGCAGAGAGGCAGCTGGAAGTTCCTCCAAATGATCTCTGCAATATATCCAAGAAGAATTTGCTTTCCACTCCCATCCTGTTTTGGTTTCGAACACACAAGTGCATAATTAGAAGGTTTACAACTTTTACGCGTCATTTTTACGCAAGAAACCAATAAATGTGACCCACTGACCCAGATTAAGAGGCATTAACTGTAACAAGACGTTTTATTTTTTTATTTCCTTAAGTCTGAACATGTTCTGTGTTTTCCGTGTTTGAACTCAGCTGCCACAAATCTCTCCTTCCACTTTGTTCACCAACATGCTGCAGGACTGCTCGCATTGTTGGCCAGACTGATTGGGGTTTCAGCACAATCTCCCGTGACCAATGAGCGGGGTGCTGTCAGGGGTAACCACATCTGTCAGGCGTTCTCGGCCAATAAAGAGCGGAGCGAGGCGGACCACAGGTGCGCGCCTCTGCGTCCCCTTGGCACAGCGCCCGGGAGATGCTGGAGAGAGACGCCTATAGCTGCCCCGTGGCGCAAAGAGAGTTCCTGTCAGAGGCAGCCTCCCTCTTTAACTCCGGCTACCACTCTGGCTCCGAGAGAGTTTATGGCGACCGCAGCGTCAAACCACTACAGCGTCCTCAGCACCCCCAGCAGCGCGCCGCCGCCGCCGCCGCACTCGGAGTCCGGGAGCATGCAGCAGGCGGCAGCGTACAGGGACGCGCACACCATGCTCCAGAACGACTACGGCACGCTACCGGGCGGTGGGCATCCGCTCAGCCACGCGCACCAGTGGATAACGGCGCTCTCTCACGGTGACAGCGGGGCGCCGTGGCCGTCCAGTCCCCTCCGAGAACAGGACGTGAAGCCCATCCTGCATGACAGTGACCGAGAGGAGCTGCAGAACTCTAGCAGCCTGCAGCAGCAGCAGCAGCAGCAGCAACAGCGACACCCTCACCTAGCGCACCAGCAGGCGCATCACGACGCCAGAGCATGGCGAACCAGCACGGCCACGACGCACATCACCGGCATGGCGACATCTGAGGGACAGAGCCTGGTCTACTCCCAGTCCGGCTTCGCTCTGATGCCAGGGGGAGAGCAGGGAGCGATGCACCACCACCCTCTGCGGGACGAGGACCACCACAGCCACAGCCCGCACCTCAGTGAGCACGGGGGCGGCCCCGGGGCCCACCACCACCAGCACCAGCAGCACGGGGGCCACCAGGACCAGTCGGACGAGGACACGCCGACCTCGGATGAGCTGGAGCAGTTCGCCAAGCAGTTCAAGCAGCGGCGGATCAAGCTGGGCTTCACGCAGGCGGACGTGGGGCTGGCCCTGGGGACGCTCTACGGGAACGTGTTCTCTCAGACCACCATCTGCAGGTTCGAGGCGCTGCAGCTCAGCTTCAAGAACATGTGCAAACTTAAGCCGCTGCTGAACAAGTGGCTGGAGGAGGCGGACTCCACGTCGGGGAGTCCCACCAGCCTAGATAAGATCGCGGCGCAGGGGAGGAAAAGGAAAAAGCGGACCTCCATCGAGGTGGGCGTCAAGGGCGCTCTGGAGAGCCATTTTCTGAAATGCCCCAAGCCGGGAGCGGCGGAGATCAACTCCCTGGCGGACAGCCTGCAGCTGGAGAAGGAGGTGGTGAGGGTCTGGTTCTGTAACCGGCGGCAGAAGGAGAAGAGGATGACCCCCGCTGGGGGACAGATATCAGGAGGGGAGGACATGTACGGGGACACCCCCCCTCATCACGGAGGACAGACTCCTGTGCAGTGACCCCTGTCCATTATTTTCTTCTCTTTATTTTTTTTACTGTTATTATTATTATTTTCGGGGGGGAAAAAAACCACGAACCTCTGCAGGGAGGAAGCTTCTTATTTGTTAAAATTCTCAATGCTGGAACTGGACCTCAGCCAGTTTTAAGTGTTGGACGGACGCAGGGATGCAGAGTGGCACCCCGGTGCTAAAAACACTCAGAGCAGAGATGTGTAGAATGGCTTCATGCCAGGCACATTGAGCTGGGGTGTGCTAACCAAAATAGGGAAGAAGAGAGGAAGGAAGAAGAAGAAAAAAAAAAGATGGGGCGAGAGAAAGCAGCGACATTTTCTGCATCAGTCTTAAAGAAAGGCGGGAGGAGGAAAACTATAGGAGCAGGCTGCAGTCGGTGTGGGTAAATAAACGCCATCTTTCCATCATAACAAAAGCGACAGGGATCCTGCAGCTTGTGGTAAAAGACAGGGCTGAAATGGCAGGCAAATGCTGTAGCCCACAATACCAGCCAACCGTTTATTATTATTATTATTATTATATTATTATTATTATTATTATTATTATTATTATTATTATTATATTATTATTATTATTATTATTATTATTATTTATAATGTCTCCTAAAAATAATATGTCAATTTAGAAATGTTGAAAATATAGAAAAAAATATTATTGATATAATAATAATAATAATAATAATAATAATAATAATAATAATAAATAATAATAATAATAATAATAATAATAATAATAATAATAAGTGTACTGGTTGACTCGTGATTTCCTTTCTGTGCGTCCGTTTACACTGTGTTTTTTGCTGTCGGTTATTTCTGTACTTTCCCCCCAAAACGCTGTGACGAAACAGACCGAGACTGTCCGACTGGAGCCTTCAGAGGGACCCGGTTTATTTTGGCCTTGATTCCTTTAAGTAAGAAGAACGGGGGACATATTTAAAGTGACCCTGATCCCGTTAGTTGCGTTCTGGACTCAGTCAGATGAGGAGACTGTGGTTTATTATTATTATTATTATTATTATTATTATTATTATTATTATTATTATTATTATTATTATTATTATTAAAAATAACATATGTATGGCTTTACTTTGTTTGTTAAATTTTTTTTTTGTGTTTGTTTTGGGTTTGTTCTCCATGTCAAACTGTGCCAAAGCACAAACACAGACACGTGTTCTTGTGCCACCTTAATCCTGTGATTATGATCTGATATGTAAGATGTTTTCTGTGGGGGGGAAGAAATCCTCCACAAGTCGGAGATCAAATCTCTGACATATTTTGATTCAAATCTTGAACGTCAGAAACTCAAACACAATGAAGGAACGTTGATGGCTGCAGAGAAATTATTTGGTTATCATGAATAATTGTAATGATAACTTCTAAGTCCTTTTTTGTTTCTTGTCAGTCAAAGGGAAAAATAGCAATATGTGAAATATTATTCTGCAATACGCACAGATTTTTTTTTTAAATATAGCCTATATATTTTGTTTATTGTCAAACAAACAATGACAGGCTTTTTTTTCTTTTTTCTTTTTCTTTTTTTTATTCCAAGATAGGATAATCCGGAAATCCTTCAGATGAGTTTGAGTTTCTGGTGTTAAAGAGAAGGAGGGGGAGGAAAAGACAAAAAAATCAATAAAACCAAAATAAAAATTTATCGACCTGAAATCTGTGATCCAGCAAAGAGGGAAATGAAATCAACAATTGCACAATTTCTATCTGCTTTTTTGTCATTAAATCGTACTGGTTTTCTACAAACTTGTAGTCTTGCTCCATATTTATTTAGCTCCAAGGGAGGAAAAAAAGGAGGAGGAAACACTTGCAAAAAGCTGCTTCTTTTCTTTTTTCTTTTTCTTCTTCGTTTTTTTTTTATCTATTCTAGCCTTTGCATTTTAATTACGGACTTTATCGCTTCGTCTGGGTTGCTTGGAAGTGTCCTTCAGCCGCTTTGCAGATGTGGGCACCGATACTGCTGTGCGCAGATGGCCACACTCAATCACCTGCATCTGAAATCTACACCAGCGGTCAGAATAATTGGGAAATTATTCGATGGTGACGGCGAGGTGGTTTTTACGGTTTCTGGGAGTAAAATGCTTTTTTTTTTTCGTAATTCATAATAATGCTTAGACCGAGATGTCTTAAAAACGTCCAATCATTAAGACAGTCACAGGTGAGCAGTTGGAGCATGAGATGGTGCAAAGTGTGTTTGTTTGTTGAACTTCTTAACAATGAAATCTGCCTTCATTGACAGTCTTCCACCCTAAAGTAAGATGGACGTTTCATCCTGCTGATGCACATAAATGTCAAACGTGAAAACTCCAAAAAAAAAAGGGTGCAAACGTGTTTCACGATGACGCAATTTATTGTAGAAATATCCCAAAAAATGTATTTGTTTAATTATTATTATTATTATTATTATTATTATTATTATTATTATTATTATTATTATTATTATTACATTTTGGGTAACTGCGTCTTATCTGGCTTCAGCATTTTTGGAGCGTTCAAAACTAAATGAATAATTCTAACAACGAAAATACAGCTGACTGTGATTAACATTTGGGATTCATTTAGATCTCGTCCTTTATGGTTTTTAGTTACGTTTTGTAACTAACAACCTAACAAGAGTGTTTTATAACGTGGCTGGGCAATGACTGGCTTCACTGCAGCTCGCTGCTGTCACCTAGTGGCCGAACACAGCTATGACTCTATCAATCATCGTGAACGAGATACAGTCTCTCAGAGTCCAAGGCGAGGCTAATGGCTGCTTGGATTTTGTTTGTTTATTAGTGGAAAGGAGAAAGAGAGGAGAACCCAGATTAATGTCGGATAAATATTCCAGATAAAGACCCAATTCTTTCTCACCACAACTCAGTGAGGAAGGTTTACAGAACTCTAGATTTCTGACGTGCAGCAAAGACAGAGATTTCAGGGTCGTCAAGCTTCCATGCATACAGTTTTAAGGCTCACATAAATGCAGCAGCATAGTACACATGCTTCTCATTAAGGGCTTTGTTTATTTTTCTGTCAGTTAAAGGTGATTTCTTTTTCTTTTTCTTTATTACGACTCATTGCTGATTTAAATCCAAAACTGCATTACTCAAAAAACTACATTAAGTAAGGCAATTAGAAATACTAATTAACACAGACATGCAGGCGCAATACAAAGTAAGCAGACATGTACTTTATACTTGGTTGCAGCTTCTTTGGAAGAAAAAACTGTGTCCCTTGATCAGCCAGTGTTTCTGTGAAGGTGTTCAGGAAGCCCTGCTTCCTTATCAGCTTATCTGCACTGCTTGGTTTGGTGTTTCTCATCTGACTCTTCATAATATCCCATAGATTCTCCATGGGGTTTAGATCAGACAAGTGTGATGGCCAATCAAGCACAATGACACCAAGGTCACTGAGGTAGGCGGTGGTACTTTTTCAGAGTGGACGGGTGTCAAGTCCTGCTGGGAAATGAAATCAGCATCTCCATAAAGCTTGTCAGGAGAGGGAAACATGGAGTGCTCTGAAATTCCTTGCTTGATGGCTTCAGCGACTTTGGACTTGATAAAACACAGTTGCTCAACAGCAGCCGACAACATGGCTCCTAAAATCATCTGTGACTTTATGCTGAACTTCAAGCTTCTTGGTTTTTATGCATTTCCTCTCTTCCCCCAGACTCTGAGACCCTGAATACATCTGTCTGAGGCTCTGGCCACAGCTGCACCCCACACCTTGTGAATCTCTTAAAAAAAATGAAATTGGATTTTCTTCACAATCCTTTCAACGGTGCGGTTATTTCTGCTTCTTGTGCATATTGTTCTATCCCACTTTTCCTTCCACTCAACTTTCCATTAATAAGTTGGATGCAGGATTCTATGAACATTTACCTTCCATAGCTCTGATTTGTTGTTACTACACATTTATGTAATAAAAGTTTTATGTATTTGTAACATTTCTGAGAAACTGAACTTTAGGTTTTCATGCTTGAACTGGAACACTGTTTGATGGGAAACTGAACCAAACCCAACTTCGTGATGAGCGTGGACGACCAAGGGATGATCTGTATTACGTCTCAGAGGGCCTTCCAAACGACTGAGGTCAACTTCAAGCTGAACGAGTCTTTCAATGAGACAACGGCTGATGACTGGAGGACCTGTGGACTTACATAACTGTGGTTATGTAAGTTTATGCTTTAAAATTACATTTGTGTAAAATTGATCCTGTTTTAGTAAATTGTCTATTTTTGGACCTAAAGTGAACTCTGAAATATATTGTTAGTTACTTAACATATTTGCATATGCTGGTTCCATTAAATTAAGTTTTTTTTAATGCAATAAAATAGTGCCAGCTATGTCAGATATCATAAATTAATTATATTGCTTCATGTTCTCAGATTATGTTCTGATTTAGGGAAGTTTTCAGTTCAATAAAAACTTTGGTCATTTTATTTCCTAAGAAGGCTGAAATCTAAAACTGTGCTCATTTAGCAGCCCTTCTCCAAAAATCCAGATTTTGGTCGTTTTCTCAGCTAGAAAATGAATGCAAAGCCTTTCATTAAAACAATCTGATCAATACATGGCAAAAGAAAGCACAAGTGCATACTTGTGGGGTTGTGTTAGTTGTTTCTTTGATTGTGTGTGTGTGTGTGTGTGTGTGTGTGTGTGTGTGTGTGTGTGTGTGTGTGTGTGTGTGTGTGTGTGTGTGTGTGTGTGTGTGTGTGTGTGTGTGTATATATTCTGAGGCAGGTCTGAATCCAGCTCTCTGGAGGACCCTGCTGTCTGAATCCTGCCTTATCATCCGACGGCCATCTGCCCTCCTCCCGGCCCTCACGCTCCTACAGGCATCTCCTGCATTATTCATACTGCACACACACACACCCACACACACACGCAGCTGCCACCTTTCACACTGTGTATCCCGTCTGAACGGAGGATGCTTCAGTATTGTTGTCAGTCCTAGTTTGTTTTCTCCTGCTTCTGTAAAGCAGACTTTGTTGGAATTCTTTTATTTTATTTTTTTTTGCACAATACCTGCATGACGGGCCAGAGCCATCAAACATCCCTCATTTGTTTGCTGCCGGTTTTCTCTTGCTCCTTGCTGTGCCTCCACAACTTGCTCTTTTCACATTCTGTGCTCCTTTCTGTCTGTTTCTCTGGAGCTCCTGGACAAAGATAAGGGCAAAGAGTTAATCCGTCAGCAGCCTTGGACAGGCTTAGCACCGTCACAGGGCAAACGCAGTGGGGCAAGATTAAGGGACAGAAGTATGAGGTGACATGAAAAAGTGTTTGCCTTCTTACAGGTTTATTCAGTTGTTTGTCACATCTAAATGTTTCAGATCATCCAAAACTGTTTATATTAGAAAATAACAACCTGAGTAAATGTGAAGTTTAATTTATAGAGGATATATGTATCCACAACAATCTGGCACCATGTGAAAAATAACCAGCCTGATAACTGCTGATGTCATAAAGCATCTGTGAAAACTGGGAATAGAGGAATATTGGCCCACTTCAAGACCACTTGAGTATCTATTCATTGTCAAGTCACAGCATTTTAATAAGATTGAAGTTTAGCCTTTAACTTTAACTAGGCCACTCCAAAATCTTTTTTTTAAGCCATTCAGAGGGGGGAGTTGCTGGTTTGCTTTGGATCATTATCCTGCTGCATAACCAAAACGCATAGGAGATAATTCACAAATATGATGCGAAACATTTTCAACACAAAGAAGAAAAGAAATTCCTTTTCAGGATGTCAATAGTGTTTTCAGAGCTGTACCAGAGAGAAACACTTCAAAACCTTGGCTGCAGTAATGCACATATTACTTTTTTTTTTTTTTTACTGCAGGTGACGCTTCTCTGGAATATTAATCAATGCCAAGTCAGTAAATAACAAGGACACACCAAAGGCGAAAAAAAAAAAATCACAGCTATTTTTAATGAAATATTGAAATGAATCAATTTTCATACAGCCGTTTATCTCTGGTTGTGGTACATTCAGAAAATCTTACACAGCATTTTCTCGTAGGCCATGTTGGCGTTTTAATTAGATTGTTTTTTTTTTTTTAAATCTTTTTTATTTACAGCCAGAAGATATTTCACAAGTTTGTTGCCGAAACACGGGGAGACGATGTGAGGCAGCACCTAGAGTCTACAAGCCGAAAATGTCGGGGGGAGGGAAGCGACCGTACACGAGAGTTAAGCCGGCGTTTCCGCAGTTTGGGAAACTTCCTGTGGTCCTGAAAGGAAGGAGGAGAAAGTTTGAAGTTCATGCAGCACTTACAGAGAATCACCTGAAAAATGGGTCGAACATGCAGACATGGCAAAAAGTGGGAAGCATGAAAAATGTTTGCCCAGTTTTGTTTGTTTTGTTTTTTTTTTTATGTCTGCAGGTCAAAGGAAAATGTACATTATTGCACAGATACACAGCTCAACGTATAATTCTGAGAGCGACATGTAAACATAAAAAAAAAAAACACTGTAAAAATATGAGCACATAAAAAGAACAAAACAATTACATTAAATAAACCAGCATTGGTAAAATAATCTAAATATATTCAACATATATAAAAAGAACTAATATACACATTTTTAAAGCATATATTGGCACTGTTGTAAACAATAGAGCAAACCTGAACTTTGTTGAGCCAAAAGGCAACATCATGCAGGAGAAAAATATTATGAAACATAAAAAAAAACTTTGCATTTTTCAGGACTTAATTACATCACTAAACTTCTACTTCAAGGTCTCTCCCATACAGTTACTCGTGAAGGCATTCCTGTCTTCTTTGATATTACCGGTAGTCCAGCAATTCTGTACTTTTTTTCTCGACTTGCAAAATGCAGCAAGAACCTTTTCACATTTTGCCATGTTTGTCTACAGACCTCAGTGCATGCTGTTGGGATTTAAGTGACGAAACAACAAAAAGTAGTGCATATTTTCCCAAACTTTAAGAAGTCAATATCTGCAGTGTGTGGCGTGGATACCCATGAAAAAAACCCCAGTGCATCTAACAGCATTTAACCAAATCCAGCTGTTCTACAAAGGCCTCAGAGTTTTTGTCAGAGAGCATTAGTGAACAAACGACACGATGAAGACCAAGGAAAACAGCAAGGCAAAGTCATGGAGGAAGTCGCAGAGACGTCTAACGGTGGGTTAGGTTAGAAAACAGAGCTTTCAACATCTCACAGAATGAAAGCATCATGACGCAACTTTAAATCCACCAAGACTAGGAGCCAAGAGAGATAACTCTGGAGGAGCTTCACATTTCCAAAGCTCAGGTGGGAGAATTTATAGATACAATTAGCCATGCGATAAAACCTTGAGCTATTTTGCAAAGAACAATCTCCAATCTTTAGATGTGCCAAGCTGATGGAGAAAGACTGGCAGCTTTGATGGCAGAAAAAGCTGTTTCTGCAAAGTTTTTTTTTTTTCCTCAGGGACAATGAATAAAGTTCACATCTGCTGAAGCTGAAGCAACCAACGTGTCACCACACGGCAACAAAAACAAAGTGAACCCACGTGTAATATTGGACAAGTAGCTTTTCAGACACCCCTGCTGGTGCACTATGAGCATTTGTTGAGTGACAAACACACATAAACCCTCCACCTTCACGCCGCAGATCCAAAACACCACAAACCAGCAGGGGCTTTATCTCATTGCAGCTAAAAAATAAGAAATCAACACAACATCAGACTTAACCAGGTAACCTATAACTAAATGAAAGGAAGCCTAAAGGCATAGTTTTGTGGACACGTATCAGCCATGCACATTAATTCAATATGTGAGAATTTAGGGTTTTTTTTTAAGAGATTGTTTAACGCGCTCGTAATGCTTGAATGCATCTTAGATGTTTCTTTTAGCCAAAGCTGTGGCCAAAGTAAAAATACAATGTGTAAAAGTACAAAACCATAAATCATTTTGCTGATGATTTGTCAGCAAAAAAGAGCCAGACTTTTTTCTGTCATCTTTCAACGTGGTCTTCATCATCGCTTCTTAAAATGATGGGGAAATAATGAAAGACTTTTAAAATTAGCTTTAAATTTATGCAGCTTTTCTTTGATTTTCAAAGATATGGGTGAGAAAATTGGAACAAACTGCTTTTTTTGTTGTTTTTAAGATTTTCTTTGGCCTTTATTGACAGTAACCAGACAACAAGTGGGCAATGCGTGAGAAAGGCACGCACCAAAAGTCCTACAATAAGTAAAAATAAGTTTACTTATTGTAAACTTATTACACACGGGCAATTTTAAGCCCATGTAAATCCTGAACATTGTTTGTTTTATGCCTAATGAAGCATAGCACAAACTTAAGGGGCTTAGCAAACTTTGAAAGGAAACTCATTTGTCAGGCATTGATCAAAACCACTTTGAAAAATAATAAGTCAGTCTGGCTCTTTGGAAACAAGATGGACAGAAACGACAGATGGCATTTGCACAGATTTGGAATTCCTATTTTGGATACATTTTATACTTCTAGATGTGACTGCAGGTATTACTCCGATGCATGGAGCGAAAGCAGATGGGACACAGGACAGAAGGTTTCAGGGGTCTTCTTGCTGATCGAGGACCACCATAAACTGGACTTTAAAGGAGAAACACTAACAATATTTACATCATAAAACAAAGGAAATAAGTTTCGGTTGTCAGATTATCTACACACTTTATATGCATAATATAATTCCGTTTTCTATCCATTAATTTACTTTGATTCCTAGAAATATTTACACTGAACGGCTTGGATTCAGTCTGGCGTAGCTGCAGGTGTCGACATAACTTCACCGAGAGGCCTTCAAAGCACGCACACGGCCGAATGGTGGCGCACGTTGCTACGAGGAAACACTGTGGGCGCGCGCAGATGTGGCTGCCATGATCACCAAGATGCCAAGTGTGTAAAAGGGCTTTTGTCTGCCGACGACGTGGAGAACCTGGAGGAGCCTATCAGCAGCAGCCGCGTCATTTACTCCTTTTGACTTTGCAACCTGTTGCTTTTTTTGTTGGCTACTTTCCTCCTCCGCTGGAGATTTGCAGGGAAACCTCTTTCTGCTCTGTCGATTTGTACCAACACAAGGAATCTTCAGCTATTAAATGTTCAGAGGTAGGTGAGCTCTAGCTCCCCCCTGTGGGCGTGCGTACCTACGAGTGTGTGCCACGTTTTGTCAACATTTGAGCTGATCTATTTCAGAGCACTCGGTGTCCATGTCGGAGTCGTAGAGAGAGTGGCCCGTGGGGTCGCTGACGGGCGACGGGGGCTCCTGTGGGGTGGGAGTGTGCGAAAGGTGGGAGAGATGGGAAAGCGGAGAAGTATGCGAGTAAATCGTCTCCTGGGAGGTGTCTGTGCGAGAGTAGAGGCCCAGGTCCGGGAGCTTGGATGGCGTGTCGCTGAGCTCGGTGGCCAGGTCGTAGCGGAAGTCCTCCAGGTCCACGAACCACTCGGGCCAGAAGCGCCGGCGGATGCGCTCACAGTACATGGCCAGGTTGATGAGCTCGCCTGTGATGGACAAAGAGCTCAGTGAGACGAGAAAAAACAATCATTGATTTGCAGCTTTTCCTCCGGTACAGCTTGAAGGAGAACTGCACTTGTTTGACCATTCTTACGAGCGTTTTAAGGCATTAAAAGAGCAAATGCAGAGAAATTGTTTCAAAACATATTTATCTTTTAAGGCAAATCGTATTGAAACAAATCTATCACACAGCAACGTTCCACTCCGCTCAAGTTTGATTTAATCAGACTGTAACAGATTCTACTATCAAGCTTTAAGAGATTTTAGATTTTAGCCTGCATGCTTTTTGCACGTTTTTTCGGAAGAAAAACTTCAGCTTCACAATCTTGGCATTCAGTCTATATGAGTGGAGAATTTAAAAGGCTGCTGTGACGTGTAGAAGACTCATCTGTCCTCTGTTTCTGTCTTGTCTTTTCATTTTTGGAGGAAATTACTCCAGCAACCAGATTATTTCACCACTTCTATTTACATTTTTGCATTACGGCAGCACTAAATTGGATTTTGTTGTTGGCGATATGCGCAGATGCAGCAGCTGGTTACTCTGATACGACGTTTGTTGAGGACACATTGTTTGCCCTCTCGACGGTCCCATTAGAGGACGAGAAGCAGAACAAACACACTGATAACATCGCTCCTCTTTGGGCCGTCAAACCACTGAACAGTAACGCAAATGCACAAGCAACTTCTTACTGAAGCACTTTATGCCACTTTATTACTACTTATTGTGCTCTTTAAGGAGTATTTATTTATTATCACTGCTTTTACTTAATGTCTGAAATGTGCCGTTTCTCTATTTAATGTTGTGACTGCACTTCTAATTTTGTTCTGCAACCTTGCAGTATTATGTCACATTTATTCATTAGTTTACTCAAGAGAATATTTTTGATTTTTTTTTTTTTTGTATTTAGTAAGAAACATATACATTTCTTCTTCTAGCAACCTCACCTTTGATGAGCTGCTCCGGTCGGGATCCTGGTAGAGTCCACATGGCCGGAGCCAGGTGGCCAAACACTGTAGCATCTACTGCTGAAAGCTTGGAGCCCATGATGTACTTCTTATCACCTGAGCGGGGCAAACAGAAGGAAATACGTCGCCACCAAATTAATAATAAAACGCAGAAAGACTTTAGATCATTTCCATTTGGGTTTATGTGTGGAGCAGTAGCTGTGGTGATGCTCAGCAGATGTTATATCTGACAGAGACTCTGGATCACATCCAAACAAACACTGATTGAACAATACAAAAAAAGAAAACACCACCAGAGGTCAGTGTTGAGCTGTTTGAGTTACCGTCTCAATAACTTAACGACGAACCGAATGCTTTTAAAATAAGTTAGATCTGATGTGTCTGTTAACAGCAGAAACCATCTGATAATCAAAATGCTACCTAGCAAGGTGGCCAAGGTTCGCATGTCCTTCTCCATGAGGCTGTAGACCTCCTCCTTAGAGAACCGTCCAATCCCGTGGCCGTACATTTCCCTTTTAACGATCCCGCCCGTCAGGTGACTCAGGATCCACTTGAGCAGGTCGCTCAATGGTCCGCTCACCGACAGCATCTTCTGAGTCTCTTCCAGGTTGTCCACCCACTGGCAGTAAGCCATAGTCCTGGGACACAAACAGCAACGAGAAAACATTTAAGGTCATTCTGTCTTTGGGGCAAAGACTAAAGGAGCATCTAGTTCTCTGGACATTTTACCACTTTGTGACCAGAAATGCCGTCGCGTTTCATTAACACTTCATGTGCCAAGCAAACGTAAAGCACGCCCCTCGGAGTAGTAAGTCGACAGAATATGAACACTTCTAATGGAATGACTACCGTTGAGATCCGTTCTCACCAGTAAAAGTGTTCTTCCACCATTTTGGTGATGGCGCGAGACAAGGCTCTCTCCTGCGGCGTCAGGCTCTTGTTCAGGCTCACGCCCAGCCTCTCCTCCAGAAACTCGACGATGAACTCAGTGCCGTAGACCCGCTCCTGGTTGTACTCGATCCACGGCATCTTTCCCTGCGGCGACAGCCTCCCGTCAAAGTAGTTCTGGAGGAGATCCGCCGCGATTCGGGGAGATTAGACAGTTGACAGAGCAGACAAGGGTGGAGGGCAGGTGGTAACAGTCAAAGCAGAAATAGTTAGCGCTAGTTCAAGAAGGAAAGCTCTGATTTTTTTAACATCGTTCCTGTTTTATGGTTATCATTTTTACTGATCTCACCTGGTAGGGCAGGTCGGCCATACGGAGGTAGGTCTCCAGTTTAAGGCAGAAGGGGGAAAGGGAAGGGGCCCCAGATTTGGGCCGGGAGAACTGGTGGAGGATGATGGCATCTTTAGAGTCCAGCTCCTCTTCTTTTCTATGTGGAGCGAACAGGGACAGAGCTGAATGTCACAGTGTGAGCTGAGGGGATAAACTGCATCCTCTTTTAACACAAGAATTGGCTTTGATCTGAACCATTTAGCTACTGTCTGTTTAGTCTCACTCTGTCCTGTAGGCAGGGGAAAGTTTGCTCCAGTCTCAAGTTTCTTTGAGTCTTCTAGGCTCGCTCTCTAATTATCTCCTGCATCTTCCCTTATGCTCTGACCAGGATTCTCTGTTAAGCATCCCGACGGCAGAATGACGCCATCACCATGTTACATCACAGGGAGGGGCTTTCCTTAGCTACTTCCTCTTTTACAAATAACCTAAATAAAAACACAGAACTATGTTATTATATGAAAATAAACATACTTTGAAACACTTTCGAGGTAAACTTTTTTTTACTTATTCTTAATTTGCATTTCCTGACAAGCTTATATATTCAGATCAAATGATAATCCATTAAAAATGTTGAAATATACAACAAACACAAGAGTGATAATGATACAATCCAATCCTGCACAGCTATGGCTATCTATGGACACTCTGAAGATAATTCGATAATAAGCGCTATTACTACATCTATTTGGCATTAATAAACACTTACTAAGCAGAGTTGAATTGAATAAACTAAGATTTAACTTGAGAAGGAGAAGGCTAGAAAAATTAGTCACTCTCCGATGAAGACAAAAGATTAAGACTAAATAATGATTTATTTTTAGTTTCTGCAGCTAGATAAAACATCTAAAATGGACAGTAAATTGGTACATTGTATCTCAGTTAAATGTCTTTCACTAAAGTGTGAATTCAAAGACAGGATATCCAACGTCTTTATCAGTTCACTCAAGCGCAGAATACTTGAACCACTATTGTAGAAACAGAAAATAGAGCCAGAAAGTCCACCAATAAGTCAACTTAGCCCTCTGGGGAAAAGACGTTGCCTGTCAGTGAAGCATGACGCCGTGAAGTCGCTGTTGCACAAAGCCAAAAAAATAAAAAAAAGGTGCATGTGTGAGTCACGTGGGAGGACGGAGCTCATCGTGGCGCAGCTGAACGGACAAACAGCTGAGTGGCTGCCAGCCCACGGCCACTGAGTCAGGATAACAAAGCCTTTCAGAGATAATCTTTGGGTCATCCTGTTGATATGAAGCCACTTATTGGACAAAAACACGCCTACAAATGGTCATGCTGCAGGGAGCTGTCCACTGAGTTCCGGTGCTGAAGTCTTTTAAGACACCAAATATCTGAGGAGCTGTCTGTTTCAGTGCAGGACTGAAAGGTTCTCCCACCCAAACAAACCAGATTATTGTTTGTTTTCCCTAACAAGATCAAAGACATTAGCTTTTGTTATTGGATTCAAATATCTGGGAGATGGTAATTCGATGCAGAGCACACACAGAGGCAGAGAGCTGCAGTATTTACTGCCACAGCCGAATGAACAGCTTGATCTGAGCCGCTAAACAACCCCCAACCGGACCATCTTGGGTTACGAATACGCAATAAATCTTTGAATCTAAATAGTAAAATTCTTGATTCTCCCCTGACTTTAAGATAAGTAGTAAATATTTTGTACGTTAAGTCAATGGAGAAAGGTTCGCTTGCAAAATGGAGTGAAAAAAAGCACCAGTTTTTTTATTAGTTTACAACCAAAAATCTGAAAAAATGTGTCTGGCATATATGCATTTATACCCCTTAAGTCAATACTTTGTTGCACCTCCTTCCACTGCAAATATAGATGGATTAAACAATAGCTTGTTAGTCCATCGCCGTATTCTTTTACGTAAAATTCTTGTGGCTGTGGCTTTAAACAGGTTGTTCTTCTTGGCAGTTTTCTACAAATTGATTGCACTACATTTCATTTAGTGGTTTCAGTGTGGAGGGGCCTGAGTGCAAACCGAGGTTGGAGCGTTTCAGATTTGAAAAATGAGTAAATCTTTGCTTCCACTTCTCAGGTTTGGTTTGTGCTGACATCTCGTATAAAAAACCAACAAAATGCGTTACAATGGATGTAAATAAATAGCAGAATGTGGATACTTTTGGATGACACTAGATGAAATGAATCTCAAATGTCTGATATTTGCTGTAATGTCGAATGTTTTGTAAAAGTGGGAGGGGAAGCTGAAATGTATTTAACTTTATCAAATCATAAGTGAGGCGTTTTGTCATTAAGATGCAGATCAATCATCCTGCATATAGGCTATATATGAAAATTCAATGTGTGAAATTCAGTGTGTTTGTGAGGATGGAGCTGGAGGAGGTGGGGCTTCCGTTACATCACAACCCACCCCTCACGATTCCTTATTTTCTGCCCGTCTGCGTCCTCACCCCGCCCAATTAAGTAACATCAAACCCCAAAGGGAGGATGCAGCAGAAATCGGATATCTAAGACGTTCACAATTCACACTGAGCTTGCTTTCATCCAGCAGAGGCCTGCAGAGGAGGAGCGCGTCTCCTCTGACCGTCTCCGTGCTGTTTGTGTACCTGATGGTCAGCAGTTCGTGCAGCAGATACGCAGCGGCAGCCAGCAGAGCGCCTCCGGTCACATACAGAGTCTTCCTCCACCACGAGTCCGAGCCCAGCGCCGACATCATCCCGCCGTGGTCCCGCAGAGGCCGGGCGACGATGGACCCGTAAAGCGAGAGCTGCTCATCGAAGCTCCGGTTCCGGCCGAGATCAACCACACACGACCCCGTCCAGGCGAAGCCAACGACGCGCCAGTGCATGCTCGGTGTCCCCCGCAGCTTTCCGCCTCGCTTTAGCAGGTCGGGTCTGCATCGGCGGGGGCGTCATGGGTCCCGACCGAGACGGGGGCAGAGCAGCGGGAAGAGCCGGGGGGACACAGGCATCCCGTCCGGGGCTTATCCTCCAGCCACCGGGGAGGACATACTCTGAAGCCCGTCCTGAGCTTCCTGACTTGACCCCCCTCTTCTTGTCTACATTCTGTCAAGGCGGACCAGCTGACAAGCGATTTCCGGATGGGGTTTTTTCAAAATAAAAGTCGGGTTTTTTTTGTTTTTGTTTTTATCTCAAAATACTGACATGTTTTCACATAATTTTCCAAAGTCAAACTCATAAAGAAGAGCCAGCATCATGCTGTGACACCTCTTCCTTCAGCAGGGATGGGGTAACTGTTAAAGGGAAGACAGATGGGGCTGATAACAGGGAAGTAAACCTAAAATGTCAAAGATTTCCAGAGAAGATTGGCTTTTTTCCCCATATGCAAAATTGCATAGTGTGGAAAAAGACTTGCACCATACGTCACCATACACCCATCATCCCTGCAATAAAATACAGTGGCAGCAGCACTATGCTAAAGTTGGAGTGAGTTGGCGGGAAGATAGAGGAAAATAGATAGAGGAAATAAATTTAGAAACCCTGGAAGAAAAGTTTTTAAAGGCTGCAAAAGGTTTGAGACTGGGATGGAGACTTGTGTACCAGCTGAACGGCGACTCTAAACATACAAGATGAGCAGCAATAGAGAAATAAAATGTTATAAATTGTTCTGTTATTGTAATTTCATTCAGAGTAATTGTTATAGGGGGAGGCCCAAATTGTCCTTAATGATGCTGCGGCAAATAAAATAAAACATGATGCAGCAGCTAAAGCAGCAATGAATAAAGTACTTTTACCAGTAAAAACAGAGACAAAACATCTGCTCGTGAAAATGTGGATTCTGTTACAACAAAAACAAAATACTAACTTTAAAAAAAGCACAAAAGGAGAACAAATAAAAAAAAATCTGAACAGTGATAATCAGATGTATCTGCATATTCTGTAAAAATTATTCATTTTATGTTAAAATTTTCCTCAGATTTGTTTCAGTTCGCTCAATTTATTCTTTCAAGAGCACACATTTAGAAGACCCAAACAACCTTTGCAGGCTTTGTGTCCAGCACTGCGAATCCCTAAGAACGAGTTTCGACTCTAATTTTGAAGGAGACACGATGTACTCTGAGCTACTACTTCCGCTTTCTCATGCAGGCTCCGAGTTATGTCACGAGAATCGGTTGTACCAAAAGGTCAGGTATTACATGACAGTAAGAAGCACGTTTACGCGGAAATAATTAAGGCTTTTCACCTAAAACGTAACGCCAGACTGGTAAAGCTTTGCTCACATTTTTTGTTTTAATTTGAACCGTTTGACAGTGAGTGTTTTTGTTGTATTCCCCCGCTTCACCACCAGGGGTCTCACTACTGTCACCACGAGGGGTTGACATTGAAGTTAAATAAACGGACTCCTTGTACCACTTTTATTGACGCAGTTCTGGAAAATCCTTTCATTTTATTATTTTGTGGAGAACGTAAAAAAAATTTTCTTTAAAGTTATAAAACGTATATTTTTGACCCTTTGAGAGAAAAAAATTGGATACCTCTGTTTTAATCTATTGAGGGGCACATATATTATTAAAAAAATATATATACAAACAATTTAATTTCACTGTTTGAAATGGCAGTGGGCGTGGCCTCAAAATAACATTTGTACTGTCAGAATTACATTCTCCAACTTTGCCAGAGAAAGCAAAACAAAAGATGAAAGCAAGTGATTTATTAATACTAGACATATTTCACGTTACCTGAATGTGTGTGCTTTTAATAATGCCCACTCAAACATACCCTTCAAACATACCCTGTCAGTGTGATTCACTGAATCACACTGACAGACATCTGCAGGTAAATGCACAGACATGTCACAGCAGTTTGGTGTTTTATAAGCCAGCAGAGGGAAGATAGAATGTAAATTGAGCATTTTCTCCAAACTGTTGTCAAAAAATGATTTTAAAGTTTCACAACAGAATATCCAATAAAACAGCTGAACTTTTAGCACAAGCGTGAAGCTAAACAAAGTCAGAACTTCCTTTAAGAAAGCAACAAATTCAAAATTATAAAGCTATTTACAAAAGAGAAGGGATCGGGAGGAACAGTAATTTGCTTTCACAGAACTAATTTCCACTTTAAAGGTGAGCCTTCAAACTTTCCATACAGTTAGATCAGGCTTAAGACTTTTCAGAAATTAAGAGTCTCGCGTCTCCAGAGCGGAATATGTCAATATAAATGCATTCAGAGAGCAGAGGTCCCTGAGGAATGAAACCCCTCCCATCCTGTCCACACAGATAAACCACAGCGCTTGTGATCAAGTTTTCCCACGGAGCTTCCTCGTGGAATGACTCCTCAGGGTGGTTCAAGGATGTCAGGATCATCAAAATGAGTTTTTACTGAGCGATCACATCTCTTCCCCTGGTCAGCTTCCTGCTCCACTGTTCTCCCTTATTCATATCAGAGTGGTTGGCCTAATGGAGACGTTTGGCTGCTCACTGGAGACTTCTCAATCACTGAGAAGAGGAGGCCGAGACACACCTCCATTTATGATGGTCGGTCTCTATATGATTGTGCAGTTTGTTTGGAAACGTTCAGCCCCTCCCAAAGTTTAACATCACATGGATTCACATAGAAACGCAGACAGGACGCTAAGACTGGCTGTAGGAGTTGCTTTGGTTCCCATTGGAGCTCTGATCACTCTCACTGCACAAAGGAAAAAGTAAGAAACAGCCAATTAAAATATTGTTAATATGTCAATTTATTTTTTTCCATCTAAAATGATAGAAAAAACAATGAATTTTGTCCAACAATCAAAACAAATTCAGTCAGACCTGTTTGGAGGTGGTTTGGGTTTGGGCATCTTGTTTAGAACAGCAGCTATCTCTTTCCTATCATCAAAATTTTTCCACTGGTCGTAGAGCTTCAGGATGACACGGATGATCTCCAGGATCTTAAAAAAGAAAAAAAGAGGCACAATTTTACCAGTCATTGGATATCCTCAATTGAAGGATTGTTTAACCTTTTATTTCTTGCTAAATCTCAACTAAATCTGCATTTCATTTGAGGCTCACATTACAACATTTACAACACAAATGCCCACTAATATCAACCTTACTTTGTCCATGTCCACTGAGAGCTCAGCAAACCACTGCCTGGCATCTTTTTGCTGCACAACGCAGGCAACATGAAGACAAGCTGCAGGGGGAAAAAACTGATTAAATCAGATCCGATAAAACTTATTTCAAGTCTGTAACCAGATTACGGAGGTGTACTAAGAAAAGGCGAGAGGGAACGACTGTTACCCAGGGCGATCATGAAGGGAGGGTAGAGCAGGCACAGATCTGTCCTGTACGTATCATTCACTATTCGCCTGGGAAAGACACGACAGAGAAGACACTGAGTGACGGCGGCCAAAGCAACGTGATTTAAGAAGTGCAGGACAAACGGCACAGAATCATACCAGGCCAGAGGCAGCAACATGTCCTCCTGTCCCATGTCCTGCACGTACTGCAACAACGGTCTGTAGGGGTGGTACACAATCAGGCAGCAGTCCTGAAACACAGTAACATTCAGATGATCATTTTAAGTGCCCTACAAAAACATTCATACCCCTTAAACCTTTACATTTTTGTGACATTACAACCACTGATTTAATAGTATTATGCACTTTTTTGTAACATTTTCTTGCATTTAGCCACCCAAAGTCAATGAATACACCGCATGTCTTGTAGGAAACAATAAGGAAAATGTGGAAGCAGCTGATTCACTCAAAAAAAGTGCATTTTCTGAACTGCAGTCTCTGAATGTGCAGAGCGAATCGAGACACGTTATTGTGACGATAGTAACGTGACAGAAAGTGCTTAAAGAGCCATTGTAATCTCATCAAGAACAGACATTTAAAGAATTTACTTACCATCAACTCCAAAAGGTAGAACTCACACTCCAATATCTGGAAAGACACAAACCAGGTTTAAATGGTTTAAAGGGATCATGTTCAACATGTCCAGGGCTACAAATAACAAGTCTTACTGGACAACAAATTGTCCCTGTAACAATTGTGATTAATGTTAATGTTGTTGTTTGGAGACCATTTTCAAATGATCTATTGGTAATGGCATAAGAAATCGAGTTCGCCCTTTCAGAGGTCAATACATTTGAATTTTGTAAAGAGCTCTTAGCAGTGAAACTGGAAGATTTTTCAAATATCCAAAACAAAATGTAACCAGAAACAATTAATAAAACGGAAATAAAAGAACACACATAATTATGATGCCCATCTAAACAACATCGTCCTTCAAAAAATATCAGAATGGAAATTAATTAGTTTATTTGAATTTATTATGCAATTAATCTATGGACTGGTTATTACATATGTCTGAAAAATTCAGACCAAATTAGCTACAAACCTTTCTGATTTATCTGTAGCTTTGTTGGGACTCTGTATGTGTTGCATTAAAGTTCACTACTTTGATGTGCTTTTACAGATTTCAGTAATCTTATCTTCTTTAAGAATTTCATTACATTATTTTCAGGGACGGTGACCTTGTAGACACGAGGACTGTTGGTCTTAACTTCTAAACAAGCCCTAGACACCATCAATCTCTTTTACTATGTCTGCAATGGAGACAAGAAAAAATATGTTTACGTGTCACACGTCTTTGTTAACTAATTCTGCGCTGTGTGAACCACTCCCTCCTTTTGTTGCTTCACCGTGGCCCGCTGTAATTTATAGCTGAGGCAGCAGTTTGTCAAAACGGTGCTGATGACGTTCTGGCGGCTTACTGCTGGCTAAAGAGAGGCGAGTGGACATATGCACGAGCGGTAAACCTAATGAGTTTTTATCACAAGAGTGCCAACATTAGCTGTGGAATCTCACATACTGACGGACAATGCTGTAGCGACAGCGCGCTACAGTGTAAGGGATTCCTGGTAAGCTGGAAAGGCAGCACATTAATAACTGCACAGGAAGCAGCAGTAGGAAGAGTTTGGGTCATCGTCTGGCATTTGGTTAGTTATGGGGTTGATTTTGGAGATTTTGGTTATGACTATGTTTCCAGAAGAAAATATTGTCTTTTATGTCTACTCTCAACCTTTAGGTAGAAATGCAATTATGAACTTAAAACACTTATCAGCTACCACTGACTCTCAATACCTCAAAGTTGTGAGGTCAAATTAAAACTGCGAAAAGTTTACTTACATGATTCATTCTGTAGGGGAATTCCTTTGGAAAGGCGTAGGAAAATCTCGTTTTCACTGTTTAAGGAAAAGTGAATATTGACATAAAGAAGAACAACACTGTGAAACTACTCTCAATTTTTATTGAACGTGTTCACGTACACACAGACGTCGCAGCAGAAATCAGCCTGGTGTTGGACACAACTCCAAATTCCTGGAGAAAGGTATGAATGTTAGGTTCAGGCAAACACACAACACAGTGTAAATTGCAACAAGAAAGAAGAAGAAGGCAAATAGAACAATGCATAAAAACAACAAAAAACAAAACGACATGTTTTATCCAACAACCTGAGGTGGTAAAATTAGGGCGCAAACACTTTTGCCTTGAATGTTCTTACCTCGACTTTAGAGGCCAGAAAAACACAGGTAGGAGCCATGAGCACAGGATCTATACTTTTAAGAGAATACCTGGAAAAACAACAGCACCAGATAAAACATGTTTCTGACAAACAGCAAAGAGATGGAGCAAAGACTGAACTTAGACTAGAGCTGAAATGTAAAATAAAACAGAGCGCATAAAAGTTCTGCAAAATCAAATACACTTTACCTTCTGATATGGTGCACTTGAAATTGATTACATCGTGTTGTTTTATCTAAATAAATATGTTATTTTACTTAAAGCTACCGTGATCATCATCTAGCCTATAAAGTCTTACTGCAATGGTTCCCAAAAACTAACAATAGATGCTAACAGACCCAGAGATTAATTGAAGCGCCCAGATGACAAATGAGAAAAAGACTAACTTTCTAACATTGACCCTTAAGTTGCAACTTAAATAGATTTTCTAAAATCCTACATTTTCTAAAATCCAGATTTGAAACTGCTCTGTATGTGTTGGACAAATTATGCGGGGAAAACATGCGACAGCAGCAAAACATCTTAATTCATGATGTGCAAAATAAAAATAACGAGTCAGGAAAATAAAAGTCAAGTCTCATTGTCCCATCACAACATTTTCAAATGAACCTAAGAGTCTTTCTTGAATGTCTTTTAAACTTAACTTTCTTTCCAAGATCAGAAGTTAGCAGAAATCAAATGTTACCAGACTCTGTGGCAGTAAACTATAAGCAGCTTACCTGGCATAGAAGCGTTTAAAGTACACTGTAGCAGTAGCAATGACCTGCTGTCTGAGCTTCAGGTGCTCACCCAGAGCCTGGATCACTGAAACACACAGGACACGAAATACATTGCAAACAGAAACAAACAAGCCTCGTCTACAGCTAGACGTGATTATCTGAATTGCACAAACATGGCAAAAATATCAACCTAAGGATTTGGTGCTACTTTTGACACATTAATTTAGTACAAAATACCGTTTGCGAAAAATATCTGCAGCTTCCAATACTCTTCTTCTGTGAGGAACTTCAGGTCCTTCTGGCGCTCTTTCATCAGATCCTGTTTATCCAGAACCCACTGCAGACTTTTGAGGCGAAAAACAACAACAACATATCTTAATAAACGCACACAAACCAAACTCACACACTGCACAATAAAAGAAGTGCAAACTTCAATAACAAAAACAGAGATTTCCGTTTCATTTGAAGCTTGAATTTCTTCTCTTTGTGTTTTTATTTAAATAAGGTATTTTTCAGTGAGTATCATTAGTTTTGAGAAACTAGCCCCGAGATTAGCCGCGGAGGCAGCTAGGCCTCACAACAAAGCCACACAAAAACAAAATGAAGAAGTAACATGTCCAAAATCTCTGAAAACTTACTAATGAGAACTCTGCCAGAAGTTTCCCGCCATATCCAAGAGGATTATGTAAAGGGAAATATATTTTTATCGATAATATTCCCCCACAAAGGAACGCATATAGCAATGAAAGTAGCTACAACGGGAGTAACATCAAATATCTTCCGGGTACCGCTTGATATTATTTGGTTCCGTCTCTTTCAGTGTAATGTTTTAATAAAGTATGCATGTGTGTTGTATGATCATGGTAAAAATAAAGAAAAATAAACTTCTTTTTTGATCAATGGGTTATTTAAAAGCAAGTAAGATATGAAACTATTTAAAAGTAACCTCACTGTGTAGAAACACACAACATGAACATTAGACTCCCTGTGAACACTTCAAGTCAAATTCAAACAAGCAATGCCTGTCTTTAACAAGTCATAAATAAAAGCTAAAATCTGATGTTTTATCCTCTACCTTAAATTTTAAACAGTAGACATCATTTGTACTCAAATTTTGGCATAAAATTCTTCAACTTTTACAGGACGGTCAGCAGCATAATGCATCCTCCTGACAGTTCTTTTCTGTCAACAGGCTATAGGTTGTATGAATTATTTGACATGAACTTGGTAGATATTTGTAAGAAGATTCAATCATGTGCTGGGAGGGGTTCAACATTCTTCCGTAGCGGTGAGGTAAGGGCCATGAAGAGTATAAAGACCCTGTCACTTCAGGCTCAGAGGAGGAGTGTGTGACCATTTTTCAGTCTTCAGTTAAAGTTTCATCCATCATCATGAGCCACAGCCCAGAGAGGATGTCCTCATACCGTCGCTGCTTTGAGAGTACATCTGAAAGCCAAATTAGGGTGTCCAGCCCGTCTCCCACCCGAAAGGAGACCCACCACAGGTCAGCCAGCTTGAACAGGAATGTAGGGTGGAAGGGATCAGGCTGCAGAGTCCTCACCAACAAGCCTCGACTGACCAGGTGGGTCATCCCTTATAATTTGTTGCCACTTTCAAGGCATGCATACCCCACATACAAAGAAAATATTAACATCAGATTCGGTTAAAGTAGGATACCAGACAGACAGATGAATTGTCACATGAGAAACATATACAGTGAAGCAGTTTGTTATATAGAAAATCAAGTGCCTGGGCAGGAACTCCAACCCATTTAGCATTTCCACTTGCAGCAGTACTAGCATGAGCACGCTGTGCTTGGATGTGACCAGTGGCCATGGAGCGAATTTGGATCTGGATGCGACTGCAGCGCAGAACCAGGCATTCAAGCTGACTCGCACCAATGAGAGGCAGGAGATGGTGGTGCTCAATGATCGCCTGGCATCTTACATTGAAAAGGCAAGAGGAAATCTATCCATATAGAGAAAAATCGTATCCTTATGTTCTCTTGCTTTGGATTGTATGTGTTCTCTTGCTTTGGATTGTATGTCTTAGTTATGCATTTTGATGTAATTGAGAAAAAACATTTCTAAGTAACTGTTTATCTTCTGCTTTAGGTTAGAACACTGGAGTCCAAGAACAAGTTGCTGGAAGCTGAGATTGAGGCCTTGAAAAATGCCTTTGAGAGAACAGCCGGTCTCAGGCAGCTATATGCATCACAGCTAAAGGAACTGAACAGGGAAGCTGAGCAACTGAAGGAGAAGAGGGTAAGAAAAAGGCTGCATCTAAAGTTATCACGGTATTTTAACATCCCAGCTTTGTTTTCATTCTTTTAATTCATCTGCTTGTCGCAAATGTAGCTTAAACAATAATTTCACAAACAAACCTTTCCAGGACTCGTCTTTGACATCGAAGGAGGCAACGTCCTGCCAGCTGGAAGTGCTGAAGTCTAAATATGATGAGGCTCTGGAGGCCAGGAAGCAGACAGAGCGTCACATTCAGACTCTGCGTCCGGTAATAAACAAAGAAAAGATTATTAACTGCTTAATTATGTTCTTAGAATGGAAATTTGCTTAGTTTTTCCCAACCTTCCAAACCGCACGTCTGTTCGTCCCAGGATGTGGACAAAGCCACTTCAGCTAGAATTAAACTGGAAAAGCAGCTGGAGAACCTGGAGGCTGAGCTGACCTTCCTGCAGAGAGTTCAGAAGGAGGTAACAAACACTGCATGTAGGATAAAGGGTTTAGCATACCCTTTATATTGTTATCCATGGTGTAGTGATGGTATACCTATCACTGAAGATGATAGGTACACATAAATTAAGACTTTTTTGATTGAGTATGCTACAAACACAGCCATTAACTTTGATTGAAGTTAAGCTTGATACATTTTCTGTATTGGTACATAACATTTTTTATAACTTTCATAGTAAATAGGCAAGAACAATCTTTCCTTTAAGTATTATATTCATTCTACGTGGAAATGTTATGCACGTTTTGCATGTAAACGCTCATGAACAGCTGCTGATGACACACTTCTGCAATTATTTCTACATTTTCTACATCATTGTTCAAGTCTTCAATTTTTAGGAGAAGGCCCCTTAACTAAACCTTTGTTATGAAAAGAATCTGGATTAAACCGTGATTTATTTTGTGTTTCTGATCGATTGAAAGGAAGTCGATGAGCTGATGCAGCAGATCTCTTCAGCGGCCTCAAAGATGGACTTAAACTTCGACCTCCCAGATCTTTCCTCTGCTCTCACACAAATTCAGTCTGAATATGACAGCATTGCAGCTAAGAATCTGCAGGTACTATGCAACAGCAAAATCCTTTTTTTTGTGCCTTACAGTCGTCAATATGCATGTGTATGGACAAAAGCAACAACGCAAGTTTAATCCAAGCACTGGTTGTTTTCAACCAGGAAATGGATGCTTGGTATAGATCAATGTTTCAGGACATGAGCGATGCGTCATCCAAGCACGCTCAAAGCATTCGGAGTCTGAGAGAGGAAATTGCTGCTTATAGGAAGGATGTGAGTATGATTACTTTATTTATCTTACAGTGCTCATAAACACCTCGAAATTGATCTTTCACAAACAAGAACAGCTTTTTCTCCAAGTTCATATGCACGGCCATTTCCAGAACGTTGGCTTAGTGAAATTAACCTCTTATTCCAACAGGTGGTATCAGGAAATCTCAAAACCAGGAGCAATGCGCAACCTACGTGTTATTGTTGTGCCCTCTGTTTATGTCAAAGGTGCTGAAAAATTGTCACGACTTGTAACTTTAAAAATAATCCTTGACAGTGTCAGGCCTTGAATTCTTGTGATGATTTTGAAGTGTGACTAATTTGTAAACATTGGGTGAACTTAAATGATGCTTATCTTTGTGCACGTTAAGATTCTGAGCAAGGAACGAGACTTGGAGTCACTAAGGGCGAGGAATGAGTATTTGGAGAAGCACATCCGTGACGCCAAGGAGAACCAGAAGAAGCTAGAGCAAGAGTTGGAGGTAAAAGACTAATGAAGTGTCGGGACTCAACTGCAAAACTGATTAGAAATTCGACCATTTCTGAGTTATAATTAAATTATTACTGCACAAAATATATTGTTAAATAACAAAAACCTGTCAGATATTGAAGACACCGGTCCAGCTCTCTCTCTATGTCAACAGGAACACATTGAGGCAGTTAAACAGGATCTGAAGCTCTCCAAGCAGAAGACTGCTCTGCTGATGAGGGAGCATCAGGACCTTCTAAATGCCAAAATGACAATGGAGATTGAGATCGCCACCTACAGGTGAACAAAGCTTTAACAGACAGCTCCGTCTCAGTAGGGAACACTCTATAAACTGGACATCCATCACGTCAGCAGTGTATCACTACTCCTAACAGGACTGCACTGTTTGTTTAACAGAAAGCTGATTGAGGGAGAAGACAACCGTCTGAGCACCATTACTGGGAAGCTGCCTCTGACTGATCACCTGCATCTCATGAACAGCAGCCCCTCTGATCGTTTACCATCACTCACAGTCAACGCAGAAACACCTCCAGCTGCTGTTTCTATACACAACCCGGATGACGGGAACCTGCAGGCAACGGAGAAGTCTGAGAGGAAGACTCTCCTCATCAGGTAGACTGTGACTTTGGCCCTCAGCGAGTATAGACTAATTAATAGAAAAAAAAGTCTCATTCATATTTCTGCTTTTTTAAAATCCAGAACAGTTAAAACAGATGAGGACGCCTATGTGAGCGACACACAGCAGTGCACCATCTCTATTTCTGGAGCTGCTGAGGACACAGATGAAGAATAAACGTCTTGATGTGTGATGTGTTCTGATCACAAGCTGCAAAATTATATACCTCACGCTTTTATTACACTTTGAAAATCCTGGAAATCTCTGCTCTCCTTCACAAGAAGGAGGAAACCATACTTTTGTATGAAATCGGACCTTTTCACTAACATACTGACTCCAGGTGCTTTAATGTCTGCTTAGAACTAAGCCTCACTTCTCTGCTTATTTAGTCTTCTAATGATTCATTGACCCGTGTTTGAAGATAACAAAATAAAGAGCAAACAAAAGCATTTCTTTATTATTTCTAATTTATTATGAAAAATTGTGGAATTTCAAGTGACATGTAAACTTTCTATTTGTTTTGACACCTGATTCAAACATGTTTAAGCCTCAAATAAGTTGAAAAAATTGATTGGTTAACCATGATGTTCATATATACAATGTAGTGCAACCCTTGATATCACACAAAAATCGACCTCAGTATGTGATACTTTCCATGTTGTGCATATTTTTTTTAGCAGTTACGAAGAAAGAGTAGAAAGTGCAGTTAAACAGTTCGACATAATAGCACCACCCTGGGAAAGAGATATATTTATCTGATTTAGAAAATGGTAATCAACCGGGATTTTCTTCAAAATGTTGATTTTGCGGCAGTGTGCGAATTTGCCTCTAATGCAAAGGTTTGGGTTCATCGCCGACTCCCCCTGCCAGGCCATATACTGCAAGGCTGACTTCATGAGCCAGGGCGTCTGCGCTCTCCTAAAGCAGAAAAACATCACCAGATTATTCAGAATGCTCCAATTCTCCGCAATGAGACGAAGAAAAAAAAAAAAAAACATACATAAGAGGGCGATGCTAACCTGGGTGTCTGCTTCTGCATAAACTCTCACCACGTCCTCGGTGCCAGAGGGCCTCACAAAGGAGCGGGCCTTTTGATACTTCTTCACCAAGTCGTCGATGGCCTCCTGCAGCCCTGCTGGGGTCACGGCGCGTCTCTCTGCATCAGTGGTGTCTATCACTCTGCGGTCGGAGACCTCAGAGAAAATAAAAATGCAAAAAAATAAAATAAAAAGAGTAAAACACAGGATGATTGATAGTTATAAGTGAGAAAAAGTGATCAACTTTTAGATGATCACTTTACTGTAGCACATTTATATGCTACTTTACGCTAATCTACCACAATAAACCCACATGAAATACATTACAGGCTGCCATACGTGTGAGTCAAACTGAAAATGTTTAAGGAGAATAATTAAGGCACTGAATAATGACAGTACATGATGCTCTGTTTGTGTACCTTAACTTTAAGCTGCCTGTTTGGCAGGTCACTGTAGATGGCGTCCCACTGCTGAACAGTCATCCCTTTAATGGCCAGTATGGCTTCAATCAGCAGCATGTCAGAAATGGCATCTCCAACAGTCTAAAGAAAACACTTGCATTACAAATGACATCCTCTGTCTTTGCTGTACTTTTTGAGCACAGTTCAGTATAGTGGTGTATATATACCTGGTTGATGATGTTGATGGTATTCTGCAGCAGGAAAGCAGCTTTCTTCCTCTCATCATTGATGTTGGTGTCATTGGCGAGTTGCTGGATCTTCTCTTCAGCTCCATCACTGAACAACACCTGATCACAACAGAAACAGGTTTCAGGTCCAAACACAGAAGAAAATACATTGTAAAGTTCTGTGAGAAACGGTGTGTCAAATGAATATATATAGCACTTTAAAAACAGGTTTAAAACTGCTGCACAACAACAATAACAAAATAAGTTGATGAAAAGGAAAAGAGAAATAATACAATTAAATATATTTTTTTTAATAATAAGAGTACTAATAAGTTAAAAAAAAAAAGTAAGTGATATTTTCATTCAAAAGTGACAGGGTGTAATTAAAAACAAATTTTAAAAAGCATCCATCCAAAACCAATGCAATAGCAGCTGTCTAGCCAATCTTGACCAGGACATTTGCTTTATACACAAGATACCAACTACTTTAAAAAATAAAATTCTGACAACATAAAATGAATTCATAAAGGACACATTCTTTCTAACAAGACTGTAAATGCAGGGTCTTCAGAAAGAAAAATAGTTTAATCTTTGACTGTGTGTTTCTACTTACTGTCCCGTGGCCGTTTGCCTCAAAGTAGACACCAATATCAAATTCTTGAGCAGCGTGATGTAGATGCTTCACTCCAGTCTTAGTACACTTTACGATTACCTAAATGTTATTTAAAAAAAAAATCTAAACTTTCTGTGTGAATTCTTTGAATACTTTGTGAATAAAGTAATTTTGTCACCTTCATGGTGTTCTCCAGGTAGTGAGTTGAGCTGCCATTTGCATAAGCAGTTTGCACCACTGCTATCTTCAGATCAAGACCAGCCTGTGTGTGTGTGAGGAGGCATTTAGAAAGAATTTGACTTTCTTGTTGTTGTTGTTTTGTTTATTTACACAAACAATTTTGAGAACAGACCTCATTAAGGAGCTCTTTCAGAAAGGTGCTGATGAGAGTAGCTATCTTGTCTCCATCAAGGAGGTGGAAGTCACCCTGAGAGTCGGTGTAATAATAAACTATACGGTCAGCATCGCCATCGAAGGAGCAGCAACGATCTCCAGGGTTGATCTTGATGCCTAAAAAAATGTGGTATTTGTTGTGTTGCGGTTACACGTGCCTCATAAAAATAAGCCCTTATGCGTTTTTGCAATTGTACATGACTGACCCACACAAAGTAGCTGACTGTGTATGTGGAGTGTCTCTAAATTTTTGGATTCACCACTACACTATAATTTAGTTTAATATAACAGGTTGCTAAGGACAATGTGAAATGTCAGTATGTTTCAACAGGCCTAAACGTACATTTTTGGTCCCACCTGACCAGAGGATTGTCTTTTACATCTTTGTTTTAATCCCAATATAAACAGAACTTCATGTCCAGTTGTTTCAAAAATACTTTTCTTTCTGACACTCTTTCATAAGAGCCAGATTTGTGTGGTGCCCAACTATTGGTTACCATATTTATAGAAACTAATCTACACTCTGCTTACTAATGAAGTGGTCTCTGAAGACAAACAATGACCAATAAAAACTGTGGAAGACTATGTTTGTACTGGTGTCGATGATATTTCAATTTTATTTTTTACATTGATTAATCTGTTGGCTACAAACAGATTGGTCTTTTGGTATAATAAAGTTCATCACAATTTGAACTGGTTACATAAGAATTTATTTAGTGGCCTCAGAGTAATGAGGGATACCTACATTTTTTATCTTAAAATGTTTTGAGAATCCTTAATGGTTTACATTTCACAACACAATTATGTGTTTTATCTTTGTAGGTCTATAATCTAGAAAAAATACATTTAAGTTAATGGTTGTTGATGATAAAATGTGCAAACGTTCAAGAGGTTTAATATGTGTGCAGAGAGCAACGAAAAGGTGCAGATTAGCTGTTGCTTTAGGGTGTGTATTCTGAGGCTTTACCTGTTGGAAGTTTCTGCTGCACTTTGACAAAGTCGGCTCCGCATTGGTGGTTCAGCTTTCCTGTGCTGCCATCATTATAGACGGAAAGCTGCATGTGTTTTTTCAGGTGACTCTCCACCTCTCGTACCTTTAAGGCCCCAATGCCATTAGCGCCATCAACTCTAAGGTGCTTCTGGTCATCGGTACGATTAGAGGCCTGGCAGAAAATGAAAATAAAAATGTTATACAAACGACATCGAAAGTGGGAAACGCACCCAGAACACGCCTAAAATCCTTACATCCTTGGCGAGTTGAGAGAAAGCTTGGCTGAGTTTGCGGTAGTATCCCTCCACTGTTGCCTCTCCGTACTTCCCATGCGTGTTCTGACAGCAAACCATGTAATGCAGCTGCGGGGTGGTCACCAAACCGTAATCTGACAGGACAGACAGACAGCGTGAGAAGGCAAACAAACAGAAAGAAGACGTAAAAACAGCAGAAACAGATTATCTGACTGATACCTTTGCTGTGACCACCGAAGGCTTTGACTCCATTCAGCACGGCCTGGGAAAGGCTAGCACTGCTGCTCCTACAGTCAGAAAAAACATTCGCATAGATGTGAATGTGCTGGATTGATTAAATTTTTTCCATCTATAGCCTTTGTGATTTACCTGGTATCTTTTCCCACGAATACGTTGGCTTCCTGGCTCATATTGATGGCCTCCTTCTCTATGATATCCTTCAGAGTCGTGAGTAACTCGTCCTGCTCTGTGTTGGCCAGCTGGGTGGCATAGTCTTCCCATGACGACGTCAACATCTCTCCCATCGGGTCGATAAGCTTCACACCATTGTCCTCCTACAAACACAACGCAACTGTAAAGGTGGTGTAAAGAAGAACATTAAGAACTCCTAATGATTCAATGGCTGACCTCTGGGTTGTGCGATGCCGTCACCATGACTCCAATGGTGGCTTTGGTCTTCTTGGAGCGGAGTGTGGCCAGCAAACCCATCCTGAACATGATGTGGTCCAACTTGTTGGCATTGGTTCTAAAGCCAGCTGTGCCATACTGCAAAACCAACCCTGCTGGTTTAGGGTGCAGATCAGACTGCTTGCTGACTTCTTCAAAATGGGCCATCTCTTAAAAGCTGTAAACAGATTAAAGAAGTTAGTTTAGTAACTTACAGAGAAAACTTTTTAATTTGGATGTGTCTAATGAAACTAAAACTAAATTACCAGACCACTTACAGAGCGGAAACAGATTTTAAAGGGAATAATGAATAAAATATTAATTCACAATTAAAAAAAAAACTAGTATTTTGAGATGAAAATGGAATTTAACAAATTAAATATTGTAAGTAAAGATTGTAGCATACTGAGAGGGGAAAAATGACTTAAATCAGCCCCTGAAAGCAGCAGAGTGACTTCTCCCTTCAAGCTATATGACAGGGCAAAGTATATACACACCCTGATGCTGCATTTGGAGCTTCTCGCTCGCAAACTAACGTCATGTTTCCACATAAACTCTAAACGTAAGTTAAAACAAATACAGTTCCAAGAGCGGAATCAACATTGCCGCAGTAAGTTGTTATTTATTCACTTACTCGCTGTCTGTGGTCTTCAGAGCTGCATTACAACCGTGTAGTAGTCAATGGAAAACTTCCTGGTTCCTCTGGCTCCGCCTTCTCAGCGTGACAACGTGGCCGCAATTCAGGGTTCACCTGCGGAAATCCCGCCTTCAGCGCTTCCGCTTAGAAGGCAGCCATATTGTTCAGGGCAAGTGGAATAGCTCGACAATAGCTCGACAGACAGACAGACAGACAGACAGACAGACAGACAGACAGACAGACAGACAGACAGACAGAGATAGATAGATAGATAGATAGATAGATAGATAGATAGATAGATAGATAGATAGATAGATAGATAGATAGATAGATAGATAGATAGATAGATAGATAGATAGATAGATAGATAGATAGATAGAAAGAGAGATAGATAGATAGATAGATAGATAGATAGATAGATAGATAGATAGATAGATAGATAGATAGATAGATAGATAGATAGATAGATAGATAGATAGATAGATTGTAAATAGTTTTTTTACAAACTGTTTTCATTACCAATTTCCAATGAATTCACTCTTTTTGTTAAATTTCAATTTAGATACAAACATAGAATAATCAAACGTTACTTTTTATGTTATGAAACTTTGATTCTAACCTAATAAAGTAAAATAAAGAAGAAGAAAAAATCTTGCCAAAAGATTTTGGCAAACCTAACTCGTCTAGCCATAATAGATTAAAAAAAATATATTCACACTATGCTATACCTTTGCTTTGCAAAATTTTCACTGGGATATTCATTAGAATTTTTGTAGCGAGGTTTGCGCTTCATTTATGTGAAGAACTTGTGGTTTTAAAATATATACGTGATGCGAAAACGCGTCAAGGATCTCGCTGAGGGAGGAGCGACTTGATGGAGAGGTAGACCGGCCGATTAAACAAACAAACGAGACGAGGGAGGGAGGCAAGGGAAAAGAGGAAACTCCTCTTCGCCCTTTTCCTGTTCGTGGCATCTTGCGCTGCGCAGCGTTAGCGACACCACCGGGAGCTGTGCGCATATTTCCTATCGGTGTGAGGAGCACCGCAGGCGGAGGCTTCCGAGCAGATCGACAGGCAGTGCGGGTCTCTACGCCCGATATGAAAGAGCTTCTATCCTGATGCATCGATGCGGGAGGAACTGCGACTCATGGGGCGCTGATTTGCGTTTTGCATTTTTACAAACTCGGATGTGTGTTTTTTTGGTGGGGAGGTTTTTTTGCACGACCCGAGAGGCCTCGCTTCCTGCAGCTCTATTTTTTTTATTCGATTTTTTTAAAATAACTGCTGCAGGCTGAGAAACGAGCTTTCAGTCCCGGTTGAGCGTTACATAACCGAGTGGCTTTAGCTGTCCAAGGTGCTGAACCGAGCGGTCGAACCTCAAAACGGGGGACGAGCTGTGGGGAAATACACAACCTTGTGTGAGTCTAATGTCATAGCGCACGTTTTTTCAACGCAAAGACGTAGATCATCTGCTGTTTGATCTCGTTTTATTTGTGTGTGTGTGTGTTTCTTTTCCGCCCACACAGAAGGTCAAAGGCCTGGAAAGCACTGGATCCCACCGCGGAGAGCAGAAGTGGAAAACCGGTGAAGATTGGTTAAATTGCCCACATTTTTTTTATTATTTTTTATTTTTTACTCCACGCCATCCCTCGGGGGAGAAATTAGTTTCTGCGGTGGTTGCCAGAGCGGAGAGGGAAAATGTCGGGGCAGACGCTCACGGATCGCATTGCCGCTGCGCAGTACCAGCTAACGGGATCGGATATGGCCCGGGCTGTCTGCAAAGCCACCACTCACGAAGTGATGGCGCCCAAGAAGAAGCACCTGGAATGTAAGTGCAGTCCTTTTTTTCTCTCTCTCTCTCAAGCCCCACTTTTATGTTTCTCACATTTCCTTTCAGCCAATATAGGCTGAAAGTCCCAGACCACATGCCATCACCGCCAATATGAACAGTTCTTTTCTGGTTCCTTCATATGAAAATTATGTAGCTATGGCAATGACCCCTTTGGTGACCCTTTGTTCCTATCTGAAGTGAGAATGATGGACATCCGAGATCTAATGTGGTTGGAGCAGGCTCTATTTTAAGACGGACTGACAAGTTCAATGAAATTCATTTTTTGTGTGTGTGTGTTTTTTTGTTTTTTTTGGGGGGGGGATTGCAATAATTCAAAGCACTTCACACTTTTAAAACAGACTTATAGCACAGTATCATAATACTCAGAGAAGAAATCAGCATTTTCTTTTTTTTTTTTTTTTGTTCCATAAATTAACAGGTTTTCTTACAAGCAGAAAAGTAACAATTATCCGTATTGCTAAAATAAGAGAAAAAGAAGTGGAAGAAATTGCAAGACTCCCATGATACACTGAAGCAGACGACAGTGAAGCAGGAACAAGTATCGGTAGACGCTCATGCTGTGCTCCATTTACCTCTGAAGTTAGAACTTGGATCTGGGAATGACACTCGACCCAGTTTAACCATGTCCCAGATCTAAGATAAAAACACAGAGGGTTTTCCTTATCAACAGTGACTGGGCCAAGGTTTGTCAGCAACACCAGCAAATATCAATGCTTTTCTACATGTTGTGTTCTTTCAAACACTATTGCAATATGTTCTTTAAATACATCTTTATATTTTCTGTGTGAGTGAATGATCACACGAACTAAAAACAATCTGAAGGCCATACTTTTTTATTTTTTTTTATTTTATACTATGGTGATCGAGCTACATCAGCTGGCCAAACCTTCAGTCGGTTGCACAGCTAACAATCTGCTTCTAGCTTGTTTATCTCTAGCTTGTTTTTAGTTTATCTAATCAAAGTTATTGGTGGTGCTCCTTTTGTTTCTGCATCATGGCTTTCTCAACCTGTTTCCAAATAGCTAAATGTATTTTTCTCTGGGGAAAGAGTAGCAGAATCATTTAGTCAGCTGACTAGGGCAGGGAAATGCTGTATGATTCAATGTGCCACACAACATAGGACACTCGGATTTTAGCTGTTCAGAAACCAACAATTAAAAACTTGGTCCACCACAATACCAGCAATCAGCTACTTCTGGTTAGAGGCTGGCCAAACAATTCATCTGCTAGTTTGGTCAATACAGAAATATAGCTGACAATTAATGAAAAAAAAAATCACAATCACTGTTTTATTGAGACATATAGGTTTGAGAACAGGGACCATCTTTAGACAAGTTATCATCAGCCACCATGACTCATCGTGGCACTAAGAACAGATGACTTATGATCTTCTTCGCTTCGTGTCCCTCTACATTTTTCTCTGCACCTTGTCTGCAGCCCCTGGTTTTTCACCTCATTCTGGGGCCTTATATCTTCTGATGTGCTCTCCTGCTGAATAATTTAATAATGAGCCAATGACTGCTCTGCATTATTTACGGAGCCAAAGGTGGTGAGGCCAAAGCTCGAAGGCACCAGAGACCAGCGCTTCCTCCTTCCTTGTTCTGTCACTGTGTGTGCGCTTACATTTTCATCTCCCTCTGTTGCTGTTCTCCAGTGCAGACTTTGTCATTTTAGCAGTTTACTGTGTGTTACGCATCTGTTTCACTCTCCATCTCTTGCATATGATGTCTGATTCAACTCCATCCAAAGCACAAATCTTATGTTTCCTGTTGTATTTTCAAGCATTTAGTGTATTTTAAATCTATTTTTGTGCAACTGAGCAATCTTGAATGTAGGTCACTGTGCTCTTCAGTGCAATTTTTTGGCCAGGGTTAACACACTTATCTCAAAGCACAGAAAAAAAGGGTCCTGTGGGAACAAAGGGGAGCTTCAAAGAAGCAGAAAACTGCATTGAAATAACTCATACAGATTCAAACCACTTTAGCTGATCCTCATTCATAGATCTCTATTTCCAGTGCAGAATGCAGTCATTGCTTCTGACATGCTCTACATCCCTTGGAGTGGACATGGCAGAGACTGTGGCTGCCATGGCAACTGATTGAGAGTTTCAGGGTGTGTCATGATGATGACAAAGGCAGAAATCTCTCTCACAGATGGTACTGGGCTTTGATACACACACACACACACACACACACACACACACACGCAAATCTGCTTTAATGTAAGTATTACTGATTATTCAGATTTGTAGCACAGAAAACAAATTATTTTAACATCACAAAAATATAATAACCAAAGTAGCAGAGTGATTGAGGAGTTTCACATTGGACAGGTACATTCAGGTCTGTGGTTTAAAGATATCATGGGAGCCGAAGAGCTACAGGATTTTGTTGAAAGAAAATCAAATCTCTTTGCAATGTTTTAAACAATGACTTCATTACAAAGCTATATTACGATGTGAGAGACACGGCACTGAATTTCACAAATCATCTATTTTGTCACACCAAGGTATTGGGTCTGTGTAAAAGAGGGTTTCTATTTTTTTTTATAAATTCCAGAAATGGAAATTAGTCTAAAAACATAAAACTCTTCATTCAGCACTAATGTCAACAAATTTGACTTCATCCAAAGTCGTGGTGCACACGTAATAGTCTAAATTGACCAGTAAATATGACATAATGCATTTAATGTCAGCCCACTTGCTTTGTTTAAAGGAGACTAATGTTGGACTGTTAACAGTTTAAATGCTGAATGGAAATCAATGTGAAGTAATAACGTTACATGACATTTAGCTCGTCGAAAGTTTGTCCAGAGCCGAGTGTTTTCCTGGGATTAGCTGCGGCGAAAAGACAAAATAAATTCTTGTGAAAAACATTTAATCCAAACCCCCAGCTGTCATGTTAGACTCAGTTGACTTTTTATTTGCCGTTTCATATGCTTGATAAACGTGCCATTAAATCTGTTGAAGAAACCAAACAATGAAATTTAAAAATGCTTAACATGTGACGCATTTAGTAGTAAGATTTAACTTAATTAAATTTTTATTAACACAATAACAGGTTTTTATGTAGAAACTTTCATCTGAAGTGTATTTCCTACATAGATTCACAAACTGTTGAAATCCTTTTTAATTTGTGATCTCATTTGAAGAAATTGTTTACATGTGTGAAGCTACTAATGTAATTCTAAAGTTTTTTTTTCAGTGCGGTGCTGTTAAAGGCTTTAAGCAGTTAAAATCTTACCTACAGTGGCTTCTTCTCCAGGCATTTTCATCTGGAATGGAAATAAATTCTCTTGTCCTGAAGGTTAAACTTAACAGCTCTAGTCCAGCAGATGACAAAACTTTAACAGAACATGTGTGGAAGAGACTGTCAACCATGATTCAACTAGTATTCCTTTTATATCATCCATCTTCAAAAGTTTATTTATTCCACATCTAAAACATAAACTTTATTATATTCTACAATTGCTGGATAATAATAGCGTCACCATTATTTGCATTAACTAACTTTACAAGCAAATGCTGATTTGATCAAATTTGCTTCATAAAATGTTAATAGCGCATTTTGTTATAAATGACAAACTGCTTATAAATTCTTTAGTGAGTCTTTGCAAGAATACTGTTGAAGACTAGTTATCATTATAGGTTTATGATGACTGGGTTTAAGGTGAAATTATTGAATACATTTTCAATTTGAATTGATTTCCATTTGTCTCTTTCAAAATATTACCTAGATTATTTCAGAGAAAATCTGTTATTTTATTTCATTTTCAGATAGTTTTTAGTTTTTAGCCCTTTTATCCACAGTTTAGTAGGTGGACAATTTTGAATATCAAGAATGAAAAGTTTTGTTTTGCATAGCTACAAAAATAACCTGATACCTGATTATCACACCTAAAGAATTTACATTTGTAAACATAATGTCTTTGACAGTCCTGCTGCTCTTGGCTCCGCCTGATGGTTTGAAGAAGCTAAGCAGCTGCAGTTTGTTTAAACCTTGGACCAGCTCAGCATCAACATTAGGAGTTATTTATTTTTGGAAACTTTCTGGCTACAACTTTGTTGTGTAACATATCGCAAAATTATCGCAGCCAGTCTCAGACACGGACACACTTTCCCCGCATGAGGCTTCACAGTTCATTCTTAGAACCCTTCAGTGGGCTGTGGATTACCGTAAGAGCCTTTATATAGCTCTGCCAATCCTCATTACGCATGTGTATACACACACATACACACACACACACACACACACCACACACACACACACACACGCACACACACCGGTTTTGTGCCAGTGTGTGTTTGCTGCAGGTGATGACACTACAACAGCGAGCATGGATTAGTGTGTGATATTGCCCATCAGGCAACACGTTTCTCACCTGTTAGCGGATATGAAAGCAGATTCATATCTGTCACAGTGAGCAGGAGTTGCATTTCACATAAAATGGGTGTGTGATGCTGGATTCACAGTGCTTGTAAATATACTAGACTTTTACCATGTTAGTGACAATGTAATGTTACATAACATTTCACCAATGTAGACCATGTCTGGTAGTGTATATTAGGAAAAAACTAAAATATTAGAGGATAAAGACAGAAATCAAACACTGAAGGATGTGACTGATCAGATGTGAAAAACAGGGAATTACTGAGGAATGCAATAGTTTTGGTAGAGAAACATTGCAAAAAAAAAGATCTAACATTGCTGCTGCTGTCTGCATCCCAACATGAAATATCATGTTTGATTAGAAGCATTGCCATCTGGTCAAAGTGTTCTGAGGTATTGGAGTCTAATTAGTTCCCCAAAGATCAGAAGAAGATCAGTGAGCATCAAAAGAAAGCCTCATCAAATATTCACATTTCGTTTGATTTTGATCCCTTCTTCTTGTATTGTTTGGTCCATTTCATGCTGAAATGATTGTCATGCTGAACATGTGCTGGTGGAGATTATGATTTTAGTTTTCACCCTCACCCTTCAAAGTTAGTGGAGGGGGCTGACTCTATAGCTAACAAATTTAAAATCAGTATAGCAGTTCTGAAGTGGACTTAAGAGTAAGATTTTCTTTTAAGGACCACAGTTTTATTGTTTCATGATGCCCAGAAACCATAATTTACATGATTTAAAAATAAAAAAATTACTTCAAATTTAACCCGGATGATGTTGTCACAAATCTGGCCTCCTCGATGCAGCACATAACTACAAAATAATTTACTAAATATACATCTTATTACAAGTTCTCATGAAGGAAGTGACTATTTTAGAAAGTTGGCTGAGCTCAGTGGCTGAAGCTTAAAAAGCACTCCAACCAATTTTTCAAGACAGCTGAAAGTCCTGCATCTGATTCTGTAGTATGCAGCCTGAGGAGCGCACACTGCACCAAGTTTTGAAAGTCCGAGTTTTTAGAGTTCAGAAAGAAGCAGAACTCATCCTACTTGTCAGCCAGGGAGCAGACATTAGCCAGGTATATTGAAGAAAAGAGTGAGGGAAGAACTCTTTTGCTGAAGCTTTATGAGGAGGCCATCTGTTCACCTCGTCTGCATCTCCGGTAAATCCCCCTTGAGAGCCACTGAGCTGCCAACCAAGACCTCAGTGAAGCTGAATCAGATGATGAATGGAGAAATAATGCAGAAGAGAGAGGACTGTCTGATGTTTGGCAGTATCTCTATGGCAAAAGTGACCACAGAATGGTGGCAGAGAACAGCATGAACACTCATAAATAATCAAGATATATAATAATCAAGGCTGCCAGCTTCAATACTCTGCAGTCTTAAGTGCAGAATCAGCAAAAATAGAGTTGGGACTAAAGGCCATACTGTGTAGCAAGAACATTTCTCCCAGACCACAACACCACCAGCAAACTGAACATGATGTAAAGAAGGAAGAATCCAGATTTTCTTGTTGTTTGTGGGAAATTCTGGTCTGAATATTGAAGATGAAATCAAGTCTATTTGGATCATGCAATGTTCCTTCAATATGTTACACACTGATATTTTACTATCCATTGACACTTTTGAAGGTAGGTGCTGTAAATAATACTTTATTTTTGTTTTGCCACATGTTACGGTGAGGTTTCAGATTATACACAGCAGACAGTTTCATTCAGAAAAAAAAATCAAACAGACAAATAAAAACAGAAGCTTATCTGAAATAACACATTTTAGATAAGCTAGATATTGTTAATGTACTTCTTCTTTTATTGATCTCTAAAAAGGCAAGCTAACACTACGCATACTCAGACAGAGCAAATCTGCAGATATTGACAGACGTCACCACTAATGGAAGGAGAGGAAGGTTGTTTCACTTATTAGGGCTGAAATACTTGAACACCCTGCACTCAAAGGTATGCCAGAATAAAAATACTCCAAGGTTATAAGTGAAGGACAACAGGGCCTGTATGGCAGAGAAAAAAAAAAAACATAGCTAGGCAACAAGTGTGAGAAATGGGCTAAGAGGAGTTAGAGCATTGAAGCTGTTTGGGCTCAATATGTGCCTGCAGGTTGTAGAGGAAGGGGGGCTGGGTATCAAGGGTTGGATGTAAACAGATTATTACTAATCACTGATTCTGCAGGGAATGTTTTGAACCTCACCCCCACGTCACCAGACACAAACAGAAACAGTTCACAATGTGTACCAGGAATGTAATATGCATTACTTAATTACTTAGACCTGTTATAATTCAAATAAAATACAATGATGAACTAAAATAAATACATTTCTGAAAAAAACAAACATGAAATGATCAATGCTACCTAACCAAATATAATTGAATAATTTCATGTAAAATTTTACTCTTCAGTTCCATGTTACAGTTACATGTCAACACTTTATGTTGCTTCTCGACATTTTGTATGTGATTAGGTATTCATTCAGTGATCCAGCCCCTTCACTTTGGCTACTTCTCTATTTGATCTAGAGTCTGATGTGACAACTAGAGGCAAAGGACATGACACGGCATTTTTTTTCCCTCTTCAGTGTCATTGTGTTTGCTTCTGTTTGCATGTGAGAATCTGGCCACATGCTACCTCATCAGGTCTTCCTCCAGGCTCTTGAGTGTCCAGAGAGGCTCTGCAGTGAAGAACATTAATTCAAGTTTAACTAAAGCGCTTTAATCACAGAATAAGTTGTGCAGACATTTGTTTTAGGCCACATACCTGTACTCTCATGCTTAATGCCATGAAAAAAGCTGAGGCGGAAAATGGGAATCTTGTGTTTGTCTTTTTTATTATGTATTTTAAGAAAAAAAAAACCCTAATCTTTTTATCATTGTCATTGCAGACCTAGTGTCGGCCACCAACACCACCAATGTAAACATCCCTCAGATGGCTGACACGCTGTTTGAGCGATCCACCAACGCCAGCTGGGTGGTCGTCTTCAAGGCTCTCGTCACCACTCATCACATATGCGTCCATGGCAATGAGGTTTGTGGGTGTCATTTCGAGCACATCTGGAGCTGTGGATGTGGGCCACTGGTATTACTGGTATTACAGCCAGATAATGAGATGAGATGATGCAGAACATAAACAGCAGAAGATGTTTGGATTTTACCCAACATGACTCCATAGATTTCAAATTCTAGTTCGACTGAGCTAGAGACTATCAGATAATGAATAGCAGGCCAGACTGTCATAGCACCAATAGGAAGCTTTGAAGCAGATGCTGACTTTAGCAACAGTAGAGATTAATAACTCACCAATGGGCATTATCTTCAAAATGCTTACAAATCTGTATCCCACGTCTCCATTTCTTTTTTAGCTGGCAAACTATTTCCAGATAAACGAATGAACTGTTTCCTTTTTTACTTCAAAATGTGTCTCAGACATGGATACAACATGGTGTCAAGCTTAAAGCTTCCACGCCTACATTTACATCCACATTCGAGACTTAGAACGACAGGAGAAATCACACTGTGACAATAATAAAATAGACCTTTATGGTACAAATTTCACAAGAAATAATGTGACATTTTAATAGTTCAGGATCTCATGCCACAAATAGCTTTTGAGTTATGTAAAAACAGTATTGCAAAGGTAAAGTTTTGTGAACATTTAAGAAATGAATTTATGGATGCTTGATTGTAATATGACATGTATTTTGCTGTTTGTCTTTTCCAGAGGTTCATTCAGTATTTGGCTTCCAGGACCTCCTTGTTCAACCTCAGTAATTTCATTGACAAAACTGGCTCTCATGGTAAGACCCATAAACTTCAAAACCACAAAGCATACATAAACCGTATTCTAAAAAAATGCTGAGTATTTTTTCAGTCAGTTTTCCCATATAAAGATTTTTGTTGAGGTTAGCGAAAAGAGGGCATCTGAAATAAGGCCGAAACATTTAAATAGAAGCGTGTAACTGAGATTATTATTCATTTGGGACATTTTCTCGACAATGCCAATTTGGTCGTTTGTCCTGACTGGAGTTTCTGCAAAAACAGTCCTCAGTATTGTACTTCAAGAAGAGGTTAAGCAGGTTTAAAAAGCTACTTCAATTTTTTGATAATAATCAAAATGCATATTGCTGCATTTTTTCTTAAGATCTGTCTCCACACGTGCAGCTACTATTCTTCAGCTCACAGATTTCCCTGTTGACAATGTTTTCGTGTGAATAATTTTATTGGAGGGCAAGGCCCGTTTGCTTTCCATGTAATTTGATTTGTAAACACATTTAATGATAACTTAGTATTTGCTCTAAGTGTTGTAAAATACAGTAATTAGTATTTCAACTCTCACCCACACAGACAGCTTCATGAGCACAGGTCACATGACACAGAAGAAGGAAGGCAACCAATTCATTCTTTTTTCCATTGTGAAATGGAAATGTTTGGAAATCATGCAGATTGAAAGGACAACCTCTGATTTGTTGTAATAACAAAATGATAAAATAGGCCCTTTGTCATGATTTGTGGTAGTTGTGGTGTGGAACTAAACGCAGAGAGGTGAGGCAGCAACTGAGTTTGATGATTTAATGAATATCTCAAGTGAGCAAAAACTAGGAACTCAAACACTGATAGCAACTGGAAAACTTTACAAGACGACAACACGACATACAACAGCTAAGATAAGGATCTGACAGGAACACAGGCACTGGTGATTATAAACACAAGAGGAGTTGATCAGGGGAACGAGACACACTCCTTACCAGTTGGTGGCGGTAATGCTCACCTCGCGTTTCTTGTTTCTTGATCACATTTTAAAAAAACGTCCAATTGAAAACACATTTATGTCATCATAAAATCTTACACCCTTTTAATCAAAATGGTGAAATTTTTTCCAGCTTCTTTTCTAAGCCTTATGATTTTTAAGTTTGTATTTTTTAAAACTAAGAAATAGAATTTCATGGTTTTGAGCTAAGTCATATTTAAGATGGATTCTTTTGGGATGAGGAATGTCTATTTGTTTAGCAGAAATGTTAATGACGCACAATTTTTTTACAAAGAATCAAAAAAGATATTTTCTCAGGAAAACCTTTTCTGTTCTTTCTCATTTGCATGTCTGTGTAGGCTATGACATGTCTACATTCATCAGGCGGTATGCACGATACCTGAACGAGAAAGCCTTTGCCTACCGCCAAATGGCTTTTGACTTCACCAGGGTGAAGAAAGGGTATGTTGAAGCAAAACCTCAAACTCCACAACAGATGACATCGCCCAGTTCTGTAATCATTTCAGTTAAAACAACAGTGGTTCAGTTTAGCATCTAGTACTTTATTAACTAGGCTGTTGCTCAATATAGGGCAGCCATATTGGATTTTGAGGTAGGTGCAAGGGATAGACCTCTCTCACTTAGGATTCTGACTTTGGGGAACTTGCTGTTTATTTGCTTAGTTTGGAACTTGGGAATTTAGATTCTAAGTGAGATTCTAAGTTATAAAAATGTGTTTTTTCTGTTATGTGTCTTTACAAAGAAATAAAAAGTTGCACGTATTACTTGTTTGGCGTTTCTTTGAGCATAGTGGTACTCAGAAAGTTTTTTTATTTACTGAAGTGGTGCTTATTATTAAAAGTTTCCAGCACAACTCTGCTTTATGTTAAACAATGTTTGCCGTATCTTCTCAGTGCCGAGGGTGTGATGAGAACCATGACCACCGAGAAGTTGCTGAAAGGCATGCCTGTCCTGCAGACTCAGATCGACACACTCTTGGAGTTTGACGTGTGTATTTATATTTTGATCGTCAAACCTGCTGTAAGCTCTATAAAGCGTTCATTTTATTGATCTGGACTCGCCTCGTTTCAGGTTCATCCGAAGGAGCTGAACAATGGGATCATCAATGCTGCCTTCATGCTTCTCTTCAAAGATCTAGTGAAGCTGTTTGCATCCTATAACGATGGAATCATCAACCTGTTAGGTCAGTAGTGAATGAATAATGAAGACACTGTTTAGTGAGAACATTTCTAAATGAATTTGTGACGCTTGCCTTTGGTTCCAGAAAAGTTCTTCAAGATGAAAAAAAGTGACTGTAAGGAGGCCTTGGAGATTTATAAGAGGTTCCTGACCAGGGTGACGAAAATTGGGGAGTTCATGAAGTTGGCTGAGGTGAGTTCAAACTATCCGCTACATCATCACTGTCATACTGACATTAATTTGGGCTTTTGGATCTTATTATCTCTTTGCTTTCACAGACAGTCGGAGTGGACAAAAATGACATTCCTGACATCAACTATGTGAGTTATTTTTCATAAAAAGTCATGCTTTTTGGGTAACTTATTGCTTTATTGCTTGGAAGGATGACGATCAAGAACCTTATGCACGTGAATCCCTCCATTCCTGATTTACACCCTCACACAAACACAACCAGACGCCTGTGCCTCATCCCTGTATCTCCCCACTAGTGTCTCCACCCAGGGGTGGTGGTGGATCTAGCTGATTCAGATGATGAAGACTGCCCCTTTACACCCCTTGAGGACCCGGTAACCACAGAAACAAAAGGGTGCCCTGGCTGAGTGCCTGTTTAACTACAGGATGAAGTGTCAGCATGCCGATCCTAATTTGATTTGACTTCACAAATGTTTAACACGTTCATATAAGTGCATGTATTGCAGTGAGTCTCTGCAGAAACGTCTTTGTGTTTCATACACCAGTGGATGCTCCTCTGCAGTTATACTATAAAGGGACACCCTTCAGTAACTCCAGTTTTCTTCTGTCAGGCTCCCAGCAGTATCCTGGAGTCTCTGGAAACACACATGAACGGTCTGGAGGACATAAAAGGTGGAAAGAAAGGGTAAGGCATTGCTAAACAAACTTCTTGATTGGATGAACTTATCAAGTGCAAAATCCAAAGATATTGGGGTTCATGTCTTTGAAACTTCCCCCTAGTTTTTGTTTCTCTGCTATAACTGGACTCCCTTTCTTCAAATACTGACTAAAGCAGATAAAGATTGAAAACCCAGAAGGAACAGTGAGATTTGGATATAATTTAGTGATTGGGAATGCTAGTTGAGTGCAGATTGAAGAAGCTGGAATTGACACAAGTGTAGTAGAAGTAACATTTCTTTTGCTTCCTTTAACTTCTGTTCTTTTTTTGTTCTCTTTTGTGTTGATTTGGGAACACCAGTGAAGGGTGAGCACATGTTGTTTTGTCTGAAGCTTAACAGTTCCTTAAAGACTATTATTAACAGTTCCATTTACTGTTTTCAACCCACCAAAGAGGTCTATGTTCACATGTGAATTATGTTGCTGTACATTGTCTTATTAGTCTCTGCTGCAACTTGAGCATTTTTTTTAAATTCTTTAGCCAGGAAACCCCAAGTATTAACAAAAATAAAAATCTGTATTTTATAGAAAAAGTTTTTAGTGTTTGAAAAGCTTTCTAGAAAATTATTTGACATTAGATAGATTTTTTTGTTTGTTTTACTTTTAAGTTTTTATTTTTAATAGGTAAATTCCCACAACTTACTTCACATGTGGAAATGTGTGTCCTGGTGCTGTGACTATATGTGCGATCTTTGAGGAAAGATCACACATGTTTACATGAGACATGTGTCTTGAGGAAGACACATGTTTAAATATATTGTATGAGGTGTAATGTGAATCATATGAAATGTGAATCGATGTGTGAAGAGCATGCCTTTCCAAAGTGAATTAGGCTAAAAGAGAAAAATAAATAACACTTTGTTGTTAAAGTTGCATTTAAGACTCAGCTTTTCACTTTGGAAATAAACTCTTCATAGAATCACATTTTGGGTATTACCGGTATTATTGATTTCCTGACAGAAAAAAAAAAACTCCCACTCTCTCTGTTTGTTTCAAGCAGAACTTTTTTGTTTAAACAAACTACTCACTATTTCTCATTCTTTCTCACTTTCAGGTCTCCAACAAAGGTGAGAAATTCATTTAAATCAGTCTTTCATCATTTTTTGTTTTGCAGTTTCAATCAGACACACCAACTTGAAGGTTTTTCTTTCCCTACATATTATTCAGGGGTCTCCAACAAACAACGTGTCTCCAACATCGACTCCAGCCAAATCTTCAAATGCCGTTCCTACGCTGCAGCCGCCTCCTGGGGACGGAGCCGCCGCCGCCGCTGCTCCTGAGCCAGCTGAAGAGTAAGTTCACTGCTATTCGTTCTCATTTTCTCTCCTGTAGGTCAATTTTATTTGACATCAGCCGATGTTATTACTGATCATGATTAGGACAGACAACCTAGACGGCTTACCGCAGTTGTTAAAAAGGTAATGAACAAAATAGCATGCTTCATAGTTTAATGATTTTATGGATGCTCCAGGAAAAGGGCAGCTGATATCATAGTCAATCTGATTGATATCAGAAGAACAGAAGATGTGTTGCCTGAAATCATGTTGTCCTTTGTCAGCCATGGTTAGCATCATCACTTTGGATTAAAAAGGCTTCATGGGAGGAATATTGCTGATAACAAGGCCAAACTCAAATCAATTATTTTTCAAATGATCAAGAACTCATTCATCTGATGTCAGGACTTTCACTTGAAGGGGATTCAAAGAAAGACGTGATCAGCGAAACGAAATGTTTCATGAGCATTTCTCTTTTCTACTTACAGATTTTTCTAAAATCCCTCTCATATTTGTACGTGACATTTTTATTTCTTGGTTCACTCCAGGTTTAAATGAAGGTCACATAACGTTGTCTTAATAAAGAATAAAACTAAGATCAAATATAAACCAATGATCCTGATGTTTGTGCTATTCTTTAGTTCTTTGTTGGACTTGGATCCTCTGGCCTCCACTGGTCCCACAGCGCCATCAGCTGCACCGACATCTTGGGGAGGTAAGAAGTTCCATCTGGTCAAACTGGGCTGAATGTGCTACTATTTGGAGACATATCACATAAATTAAAACAAGTAATCTGTGTGTTTCAAAACGGTCAGCTTCTCAGCAGTCGCTGATAAAGAAATGTTTGAGAGCTAGCTTCAAGAAATAATTTTGGAATCTAAATTAGAAACCTTTCATAATAAATTCAGTCTAATTAAATGTATGTTTTCTTCTCTGATGCGCTCCACAGACCTGCTTGGATCAGGTGAGTGTCACGTCCCTCTGTGTTTAACCTCCAATATCTTATCAAGGATAGTGCAGAAGTAGACTATCTTGATGTTACCAACTTTTATTCCTTGCAAGCACTAATATATAGAGTCAAAGTGACGTTGACTCAATAATAGTGATTGAGTTTAAAATTAATATTAAACTACACTTTAGTTTAGTGTTAATGTCACATAGTTACCTCCCTGTTTGTCTCTTGTTCTCTTTAGTCTGAGTACTTTCTTTGTTTCTCTTTGCCTCTTCTCTCTTCTCCCTCCACATACTCCATTGTCTGTTTTTGGTTTAAAACGGGGGCTACTTTTATTATTTGGCAATTTTTTTTTAACTTATGTATTGAACCTAAATTATATAAAATGGTTTAATTTAATTGGAATTTTGCTTTAACTGTTTTTTCCCCCTTTTCTTCTGTCACTTTGGTGACTCCTCTGGTCATTTTGGTTGCTCCCTCTGGGTTTCTTTTACTGCCTATTTTTGGGGGCGGGGGGATTTGAAACACACCTACCCCACTGGCAGAAATGGGCGATTCCTTGCTATCTGAACCCCCACTCGCCGCAGAGGCCGCCCCCTCCCCTGCAGCAGCAGCGCCCACTCCTGCAGCGGCAGAACCTGGCGTCTCTCTAGCTCCTCCCACTAGCACAGCAGCCGCCACTTCCCCTGGTGCCGCCAATATGGATCTGTTGGGAGGTCAGTGGGCTTCCAGAACATTCTCTGCAAAGGAATACCTCTGGGAAGCTCAACCCTGAAACCCATCTCACAGCACAAAAACACACAAGCACAGCTACATTCTCAATCACATTAAGCATGCACAGTGAAAGTATTTGTCCTCTTTCAGATTTCTTAAGTTTGTTTTTTCTTTTACTTTTTTTTTTTGTTCAACTTAAATGTTTGCAGAACTCAAATTAATTTTAATACTACAGAAAAAAATGATCTGATGAAACTTTGATTGTAGTTTTTACATTCTGATTTCATTTATTAGGGGAAGAAAGTGATCTAAGTTATTCTGGCTTTGTGCTGAACTGGTTGTCATCAAACAGCTGTGGTCAGCAGTTGGAAGCTGTCAGTCAGTATGATGAGTTTTTCTTCTTTTTTTTCAATTTTGGGTTTAGCCAGTGACATTTAATGCAAAAAACTGGATTTCTCATGGAATACATGAATTAACATTTCCCTTTATAAATTATCTCATATTTTGAAAACTGCATCTTGTAAGTGTTGTTGTTATTATTACTATTATTATTATTATTATTATTATGTTTGATGATCTGAAACATTTAAGTGAAACAAAAAAATATCGTTAAGAGGATAAATACTTTTCTTACGGCACTGTAGGTTAAGAAAAAATATTTGCACGATATAAACAAACCATCCAAAGCCGTCACTGCTTTCCACACTGAAGCACGTTTCTTCACTAGGAAGTACTGTGTTTGAGGGGTTTTCTTATGTTTCACCTTATTCACTTTATGTAACTGCTTCTGAAAATGGCAAGAAAGAAAGAAAGAAAGAAAGAAAGAAAGAAAGAAAGAAAGAAAGAAAGAAAGAAAGAAAGAAAGAAAGGAAGAAAGAAAGAAAGAAAGAAAGAGAGAAAGAAAGAAAGAAAGAAAGAAAGAAAGAGGGAAAGAAAGAAAGAAAGAAAGAGGGAAAGAAAGAAAGAAAGAAAGAAGAAAGAAAGAAAGAAAGAAAGAAAGAAAGAAAGAAAGAGGGAAAGAAAGAAAGAAAGAAAGAAAGACAGACAGAAAGAGAGAGTGAAGAAAAGAGACATATGTATTAAAGCAACATTTTTGATTCAGAAGCCTCAAAGCCTAAAGCAGGTTAAATGTATACTTAAGTAATCTGACTTAGTTAAATTTAGCATAGAATAAATCTAGTATAAAAAGGCCATTCATTAATTTATTCTATAATTCAGAGGCTCTACATTTATATTTTTTCCACTTACAACAAATACAAATTTGTTGTAAGTGGAAAAAGTTGAAGAAAATAAAACAGTTTTGTTTCTTTTTCTTATTTCCTTGCATCAATATTCCTTCAGAAATACTTTACACACTTACAGCTGGCTTGCTTCTAAACATCCCTCCAGATTCATTGTCACATGCATTTTGTTTGATGAGCTGGCATGTTTTTCTTTTATTTCATTGGAAAGCAATGCCGTGAAACCCTCCGATGTGGATGGATACAATTATAAATGGCACCTGCAGCATTGCGTAGATGGCTTATTCTGCTCTTTGTGCAGTAGATTAATCTCTGTGTACTGCCTCCTGTCTGTGTGTCCATTTATCCATTCACCTGTCGGTCACTGACGTTTTGTGCTTCTGCTTTATTTTATTTTTTTATTTTTTTCACTGTTTTTGCTCAAATTTTACAATGAAAATCCAGGACGTAATTTACCTTCTTATGCAAATGCTCTGTGTTATCTTTGTTTTCTCAATACTTTCTTTACCTCTAAAGACCTATTGACTTTTTCCCTTTTCCTCTTTCATCTATAACTCCATCATCTTGCCATCTGTTGGCGTTTCTGCCCTTCGTCAGACGCCTTTGCTACACCTGCTCCTTCCTCTGAGACTACTGCTGCAGCAGCAGAGGGTGGGGCTGCTGCTTCGTCCACCCCAGCCACTAACTCTGGAGCTGGTGGGTGACTGTAAATCTGAGCGTGTCTGGTCTGCATGTGTTGTGAAAGAGTTGAAATCGGTGTAAACACAGATAACACAAAACGCTGTTTCTTTCAATGTCTTGTTCAGAATCGCAAGTTATATTTCTTGAGGATGTCATGTTTTTGTTTTTTTTTCATAATACTGACATGTTTCATTATCTCCCTGTAGACAGAAACCTTAATGCTTCATGGTTCTTGTCAAAAAGCATCTCGCCATGTCATATCTGAATCATTTTGAACCTGTCCATAGCAATGTTTCTGAATGCAGGTGGATGTAATTAATGATGCTGCAGCTGACATCAGCGCACGAAAGGTAGTAGTGGAATATGTTTGTGCAAAACCTTTATTCTAAAGCTGCTGTGCATATCTTAGCTAAAGCCTACCCAGTAGTGGCATCCATCAGACAATATATCTATTGGCTTTAGTAGAGACTGAACATAGGCAGCTTGGAGAGAGACTGCAGGATGTCACATTGTTAGAGATATGTGGTTTTTGGTCCACATATCTCTTGAGGACAACATTACTTCATCTATAGTCTCTGGACAACAAAAGATAGCACTGGATTTCACTGCATATATTGTATGTATCAGAGTTGTCATACAGAAACTTAACATCTTTTAACGAAACAAGAACATCTTGCGTCTACGTATGTTCACCCAGTTTGGTAAACTTTACTGCCTTTTTCTTCTACCTCTCTTCATAAATGTGTAAACCTCCAGATAGATGTGAAAGGTAATCAGCAAAGTTAAAAAATGGAGAGACAAGGTTTTGGCTTGATAGCAACAATGTTTGACAGGGTTATGTATTTCTTAATCAAGGACAAGACTTGATTAAGACAACGCGGATTGACAAGATAAGGCATGTCAATTGTCTTCATAGAAGGTGTGCGGCACTATTTGTGTGATGCACAAAATCACACTTACCTGGTTTTACACTTTTGCTGTCGTTTGTCTTATAAGAGGTTTATGTTCTGTGAAAGCAGTTACTGCCTGCTCCAGTTGTTTGCATTTTTTTCCATCAGAAAATCTATTTTTAGCTGTTAATATTCCCACTGACAGCTGGAGTGTGTTTTTATATTTGCAGGTTTTCTTTTCCTTTCATTCCTCACATGCTTCCTTCTATCCTATGCATTTTTGGGAACTGCACGATTTTATTTCCATCACATGAGACACGCAGAGCAGTGCAAAGAATGTGACAGTTCTACAAAATAAAAGCATCATTGGTTATGCATTAAGAAAAATTATGAATTACCCTAAACTTTCAATCAGTGTCATCATCCTTATTTGATCTGCTTTGTGTTAAATTCATTGTCTAACATTCCCTCTCCCTCTCCATATGTTAAATTCCTTAACCCCAAAGACCCTTTTGCGCCGTCGGATGGCAAAACCAACACTGCATCTTCAGGTCTAGATCTTTTTGGGATGATGACAGTGGAGAACAGTAGCTCACTGGACGTCTGTTTTAGCTCTATGGAGACTCAGCCCTCCCCTTCCCCATCCCCTTCACCGCTCTTCACCTCCACATCCACCACCATCACCACCACTGCAACCATTTCAGGCTCCGGCATCAACAGCACAGCGACGGACCTTTTTGGTGGTAAACATGAGGCATACAAGTGAATTTGTGTTTTACGTCTTCCTCCTCTGACTGGTCTGATGCTGCTCAGTTAAATCTGTCCTATACTGTCTCGTTTTCCCTAATGTTTTATGGGTTTTTCTGCATTCAGAACTTAAGAAAAGTTTACATATACTCAATAGGAGCATGAGTGTCATATAAGTTTTTTGGATAATTAAGATTGCCTTTAAACTGTTTTTTTAGGGTGGAAGGTTCATGTAACTCCAATTGAATTCAAAAACAATAATTCAATACGTGGGATTTAAACTGTGTTGACTTTATCTAATTCACAGATGATCAAAGTTACACATGGCAGCACAAATTTGTGCATAAACCTTCTACAGTTTATGTTCAACAAAAAATTGCAAAGAAACAACATACGTACTTTCTGTTGCAGATTACAAATTTCTGGCATAATTCTAGCTGAATGGGTTAGGAGTTATGGTTAACAATAAGTACAGTTTTCTCAGATTTAAAAGTCTCCTATGTACTGCTCCTTGAATTCTTCAGTCATTGTGGCCAAATAGTTCAATCTTTTTCACTTAAGATTTTTCCCCAGACATCATATGGCAAAGCTGACACAAATTTTGGTCAAGTTGTTCCTCATCCTCATTCTTGGATCACGATGATGTTAGAGTTGCTTCGCTGTGGACAGTAAAATGTTATTCAAGCAGTTTCCAGTCATGGCAGCTTTGAGCCTTTGTGTTTGCTAACTTGGCCTTGAACATCTTAATCAATTTATTTCTCCTGTCTAGAGGCTTAATCTAACCCAAACTTTAACAAAAGCTTGTTTACAGCTTGCCTACAATATTCCCAAGAAGAATAGTGAAATAAGTAGCCAGAAATAGGGAAGAATCTTCATGGTGACAAAAAATGTGAAGTCAAGGTGCAATGTCCTAAAGAAAACATTTTGTGTGGATCAGTGAAAACTACCATAACTTCAAACTTGTGCACCCAATTCTTGCTGTTGAAACATATTAATGCGTGTCGTTTGATCATTCCACTATGAAAAAGCAATGATACAAATTGATCAAAATTAATATGACCATCAAGCCCTTTACGAGTGTCTTTGAACTGTTCAATGCTTCTGTATGTCTCTCCTCTGTTTGAGAGTCTCAACAGCAGGTTAAGGAATTATTTTTAAATTGTCTTTTCTCTGTTTTGTTTTTGGTGCGCATGCCTTCATAGATATGTTTGACTCCATGCCAGACTCAAGCTTCTCCAAAACGGACCCATTACCCAGCACTGACTTGTTTTCAGCAGGTATCCTTCTGCAACCCGGTTTGCAACCTTGCGTGCACCTTCCTATTCTCCCAAAATCTCTTGCTGTCTTTGCTTCCAGCTTTGTCCTTGGCTTTATCGGGCAATAGAAGAAAAGAGATAAAAAATAAAAAAAAAACATGATATTGCTCTCTTACAGGTTAGCTACAGGCTTCTCACCTTTTTGAAGCATTTACTTTTGTTTCTTACCTTTTTTTTTCCCAATTCCAGCATGTATTGCGTGCACTGCAACTTCAACTGTTAGAGCATCATAATAAATAAGAGTGATTGCTCAAAGTGCATTTGTGCGACTGCGTGTTGGGGTCTAAACATCATCTCCACCTTGCCTTCTCCAGCCGATTTGTTCAGCTCCTCTGCACCCATCCTCCCCTCTGCACCACCACCCAAAATTGACACAGGAGGCATCATGAGCTTGTTTGGTGGTGGGTAACATAAATGACTGTTTTCCCTCAATCTGTCTCCACGGCTCTTGAAAACACCATCAAAGGAGAGAAGGGTGTAATCTGGAAGTTTCCCTATTACATCGCACTGCGCTACCTTAATTGATAATATTTTTACAAATGTGCTGGAAAATAATTTAACTAGTGGAATATTAATGAATGACACAACTGATCACTTACCAGTGTTCATAGTCTACGACTGTAAGTGCAAAACAGACGATCAAAAATAGAGACACATTACAGACGGGTTACGTCTGAAGAGACACTAAAAGCTCTAGAAGCTGAGTTGTTAGCTTATGATTGGAGATTAATATATAAAATGAATGACGTGAATTCAGCATATGAAGAATTTTTAAAAATATTTAAAATATTATATAACAAGCACTGCCCAATCAAACAATATAACAAAAAGTAATCAAAAAAATGAACAGTGGATCACAAAAGGAATACAAAGGCATGTAAAAAGAAAAACAAACTTTATAGAGAATTTCTAAAACATAGAACGTCTGAATCAGAAAACAAATACAAGAAATATAAAAATAAGTTAACTAATATTATAAAAACATGTAAAAAGGACTATTATCATACATTACTGGATAGGAATAAAAACAACATTAAGGAAACATGGAATATTTTAAATAGAGTTATTAGAAAATCTAACAATAACAACTATCCAGACTATTTCATAGATAATGAACAGAATATTACTGATTTGAAAAGTGTCGTCAATAAATTTAATACATTTTTGTTAATATAGGACCTCAATTAGCAGAAAAAATTCCGACTACAAAAACTGCAACTCAGCAATATCTAATTGAGAATAATCCCCAGCTCCTTATATCTCAGCCCTGTACAAGAAGAAGAAATCATAAACATTGTGAATAACGGTAAAAATAAGACTTCTACTGACTGTGATGATCTGGACATGAAAACTATTAAAATAGTAATTAAAGGTATCTCTAACCACTAACTTATATTTGCAATTTATCATTTCAAACAGGATCATTTCCCAACAAAATGAAAATAGCTAAGGTCAAACCATTGTATAAAACTGGCGACAAACACCTCTTCACTAACTACAGGCCTGTGTCTCTTCTCCCACAATTTTCTAAAATCCTGGAAAAACTATTTAAGAAAAGACTGGAACAATTCATAGAAAAACATTCACTACTTATCAGCAGTCAATATGGATTCAGAGCAAACCGGTCAACATCGCTGGCCGTAACTGACTTAATAGAAGAAATAACCAACGCAACAGATAGTAAAAAACTGGCAGTAGGGATTTTTATAGATCTAAAGAAAGCTTTCGATACAATAAATCATGAAATCTTACTTAAAAAATTAAAACGTTATGGAATTAGGGGAGTAGTTTCTGACTGGATGAGGAGTTACTTGAAGAGCCGGAAACAATTTGTGAAATTGGGAGAGGTGGAATCTGATTGGCAGGAGACTGTCTGTGGAGTACCACAAGGATCAGTATTGGGACCAGTTTTATTTAATCTTTATATAAATGATATCAGTAAAGTGTCCAATGTATTAAAATTTATCTTATTCGCTGATGACACAAATATTCTAGCCTCTGGCGACAATTTAGAACATCTTCTCTCAACAGTCACTTCAGAGATTAGTAAATTAAAGATATGGTTTGACCATAACAAATTATCCCTAAATTTGGACAAGACGAAAATCATGGTCTTTGGAACTGTTATAAAAATACTGAAATCCAAATTCAAATAGAGGACGTAACTCTACAAAGGGTTTTTGCTAATAAGTTCCTCGGTTTAATAATAGATGACAAAATCAGTTGGAAACCTCATATTAAACATTTACAGAGTAAACTCAGTAGAAGTATATCCATATTGGCTAGAGCTAGACATGTATTGAATGCTAAATCACTTCATATTCTATATAACTCCCTGATTTTACCATACCTATCATATTGCTGTGAAGTGTGGGGAGTTAATTACAAGAGCTCTTTACATCCGGTAACCGTCCTACAGAAAAGAGCCATTAGAATCATCCATAATGTCGGTTATTATGACCATACAAATCCGCTCTTCATAAAATCCAGAATTCTCAAATTCGACGAGCTTGTTGAATTTAAAATGGCTCAATTTATGTTCAAAATATCTAAACAGCTGTTACCTGAGCACATACAGAGCACGTTTTCTGAAAGAGAAGGGGGGTATAACTTGAGTCACTCAAACTACAAAATCCGCAATTTCAGAACAACAAGGAAAAGCTTCTGTATTTCAATTACAGGTGTAAAGTTATGGAATAAGTTACATGAAGATTTAAAACAAAGCAACAGTTTAACGCAATTCAAAAGAAAGTACAAAGAGGTCATTTTCAATAGATACACATACGTGTAATAGAAAGCAATAAGGTGTGTATTGCAGATAACTTGGTGTAAGGGTTAAGAAAGACAAACCAGCATAAAATGGGAAAATGAATAGGTAAATATTAGTAACTGTTACTTCTGACTGACACTTTGATTTTGATTTTTTAATGACAGTAGGATTCTACAGTCTCAAGTGTTTAGGGGTAGGAGTTTATAAGTTCTCACTTCTTCCTACCCCATTTTGAGCATGATATGTCAACTGAAACAAAAAATCTGTATTTTCTCTTCTTTCTTATGCACTTCTTGTTACTGTGCACTATTTTATTTTTATATTTGTATCATGTTCGAATAAATTTCATTTCATTTCATTTCATTTCTGTGGTTATAGCTGCAGAATTTCCATCTGTGGTCAAAGTTTATCTGCCTCACATTTCTACCTCTTCCAGCATCACATGCTCAACCTAGTTGAGTGAGATTACAGAACATTTTGGTTCTATTTAAATGAAACAGAAGTTGAGATGTTTTAAATTGGGTGAGTGTGTGTTTTGACTTGCACTGTGGCACCGTTTTTAACTTTAACCGTTTTGTCTGAAATTAGCGGCGTTGGCGCAGAAGGCTGACTATTCCCCTTGTTTGCCCTCATGCTGCGCTGGAAATGGCTGAACGTGTTTTGGCCTGGCATGGCATGATGTGGTCATGTTTGGGATGACCTGCGACAGAGCCTACAGGAGGGGACGCCCCAGCTGCTGCTGCTGCTGCAGCTGCACCAGCTGCTGCTGCTGCTGCTCCTGCTGCAACTGCTGCGGCTCCAGGTTCAGAGCTCATGTCAGGTAAATCGTCACGTGTTCTGCACCAACCTGCATATGTGATGTGTGGCCAATATATTACACACATTTCACAGGCTTTTTTGCACAAAGTAAAATAAATCTCTAATTCAATGTGGGATTTTACCAAAGGACTTGTCTTTACCATAGAGTTAAAGAAATTTTTAAATTGTGTCTCAGAGCTGTTTGCATGTGTGTGTGTTATTTCCCTTTTTACCTGCAAGCATTCGTCTCATCTTTGCATGATGCCTTGTCACTTTGAATCTAATGTCCTCACATCACCCCAGAGCATTATTCCGATGCCATCCTCTCTGGAAGCTACGCAGTGGCGTTTAACCTGTCAAATCTGATGCCTCACAGTATTTGCCACTGTTTCTATTAATTTTGGTATCTGTTAAATAAATAGTCCACAGCAATTCAATCAAACCTGTTGTGATTTTTTTGGTGAAGATTCCATTTAGTTTTTAAAGTGTATTTGTATTTAATGATGATTTTCCTGTACACACGGTGCCTTGTAGAAGCCATGATTGGACTTTTTTCACATTTTGTCATGTCACAAGCATAAACTGTAGAGTACATTAATGGGATTGTGGGGTGAAAATTCACATTCCAGCAGTGAAATGAAGATAAATTTACAGCCAGACATATAATGGAAGGATTTAGATCAAAACTTATTCAAGTGCTATGATGGCCTAGTCAAAGTCCAGACCAGTTTCTAAATTCTGCGGCAAGATATTCCCTGACACATCAGATATTTTTTATAAACATTAGAATTGGCTTTGTTGTTTTACACCAAACTGCCTGGACTAAAAAATGTCCTAAGCTTCAACTAAAGATAAAACAATTGTGAGGTTCATTAAAATATCTGCAAACTATGCAAAACTGTCAGAAACTTACTTAAAGACTTCATTTCAATTGGTGTTATATACTGAATTTGTCATTCTCTCTGTTATATAGTTGTAATAATATCACTGTGTGTGTAATATGCTGCACTTTTTCAAAAAGAAGAGAGTAATAATAAATATCACAAGACATTTACATTCTCACACTGTACTGATAGATGGAAAGATCCATTTTGAATCAAAATTGTCAAACAATCAACCTGTGCACTGAAAACTTCTGCCCCTGATTAAGTTCAAATGTATTTAATGTCATGAACCAAATGTTGGTTGTTAAACAAGAATCACAATATCCAGACAGAACAGCTTTGTGAGAAAGTTGTCCCCAAACACACAGAAGACACAGCAGACAGAATGTTAAAGATGCTGTGGAATAAACTTTTGAAGCTTTTGAAGGAATATCAAGAAATGATTGTGTTACTTTTGCAAGGCACCATATTTGTTCACTGCTGATTTTGCTGTTTGTGTCTAAAAATTAATGTAATCACTCAAGGCGTGCTCAAATCCTGATCCATGTTCATCTTACTCATTCACCTAATGTCTGCTATACTGCTGCTTTATTGCTTAACTCTTTCTCTTTTCCTCCTTCTATATAAAAATCTCTACTGGACTCTTCATCACGCGCTATTTAAAAAGCTCAATATTTCTTTCTCACTTTGGCATCTCTGCTTGTTTTTGCTATCCTCTCTTTTTCCCCTTGCGCCTCCCCTGCTCTCTTTCTCCATCTGGCTCTCGGGCTGGCTCATTTCTTGCTTCCTGCAATTTGATTGGGTGAGTTGCCTTGCTCTTTAACGCGCTAAATTCCCACAGTGCACTGCATTGCAGTGGCGCAGCTCCACTGCACTGTCCCCTCCACCACCAAGATGCTGGATGCTGACAAAGACTGTCTGTCTGTGCAAAATAAAAGCAATATGTAAAGTGTTTAACGTGTAACCTGACTTAATTCAAGCTACAGTGCTAGAATAAAGTCAGCTGAAACCTATCTACTTACACATATCTCTATCTACTAAATATGTTTTGTTTATTTTTAAAGAAAACTTAAAAGTAACTTTGCATGTATTCATGTGTCTTGCTGTTATATTTTTCCACGCACACTACATGGAAATTCTTTGTCATCATCTAAATTCACTACGATCTCGGTGTTTATCGATCATCCCGACTGCTTCGTTGGCATAGAGAGTTGTGGTAGAGTGTGAAGATAGCTCACACAGGATGCTAATGTCTGCCTTCGTCTCCCATCTTGCCCCCTTTCCTTTCTTCTGCCCCCTCCCTGCTGTAGTATTTGATGGGCTAGGCGACATAATGAAGCCCACTGTGACCCCTCAAGCGGGTGATGTTGACACCTCCATGGCTAACATGGCAAGTAGTAAGTAGTCATTTAGGACAAGTGCAGACTCAAAGATGTTACAAAGTATTATAAAAATGTGTATATTTAGAGAATGCTATTGCTATTTCCCTCTGGGTTTAAACATGTGCAGTGCAATAAAAATGAAATTACAAATTGTTCTGCACGGCGCATTGCAGGCTTTTGCATGCACTTTTTCAGGACTGTCAGACAAGCATTGCTGGAAGAGAAACTAGGCATCTGTTGTAATTTGTTACCAGCACAATCATTGAGGTTCAAAGTAATATAACCACAGTCACTTACATTTTATTTGATAATGAAACAATTAGGGAAAATTCATAATTTAGAGAACAGAAATTGGATGACGATGGATCAAAATACCTTCTTAGTGAGAAGTCACTATCTATCCACGTCTCACACAGCATTACGCTGACCCCATAGCAAGATTGAAGATATTGCCGTACTTTTTGCAGCTGTATCCCAATGTCTATTCCAAACTAATCACAATCCAGTCGGATAAATATGAGCCTTAATCAATTTAAACCCCCATTTTTAATCAACATATTGCCATTTTGTTGTTGACGATTTATTTCTGTTTCATACGTTTAAACAAGCCATTGCATTTCCATTCTTAAACCATTGTGTATTAGTTTATCTCTATAGCTAACTTTTGTTTTGGATGAATTACAAACAGTCTTAAAAACGATCAAATGTGTTGCTGAACTTGATTTAGTTGTACATTATTCACTGAAGATTTTGTATTACACCTCATTTCTAGTGAATGTGGTTGTCACCCCAATTTGGACCAACTCTTTTGAATAATAGTCCCTCACATAGTAATGTGAGGAACTTCCTGTGGGTAGATAGTAATTAGAGTGCTAAGATCACATTTTCTAATGGCAAATATTTAGGAGATTATCAAATGATTCTCATTATCTCAGATGATGAAATGTAATATTAGATATGAAACATCCACATGCTCGGTAAGAAGCATCTAGCCTCTTTTTGAACAGTCAAAGTTTGGCTAATAAGTGGAACTGTGAAAGCATGAAATAGTGAGGCAAACATGAGCAGCTTCCTCCTGTTTTTTTAAAAAAAAGGATGTTCAAAAAAGAACAGCAAATGTTCACTTCCTATTTTGATCAAAGAGAGATTTTATTGTTATCTTGTGAACATGAGCTCAGTCAGTGTTTACTCAGGCATTTGTGTGACCTTTCAAAGTTGTTCAGTTATGCTTAGCCATATTCATGTCTATGTGCACTTGTCCATGAGACTACGGCTTTTGCATCAACAAAATGCATAGTTTTGACAAAAGTCCTCTCAGCCTTAGAGGACAATAGAAAAGTCTGATTAATTGGCAACAAAACCAGAAGACATCCACTGTAGGTTGTATGATTTCTCCAGAAGCGCAAATGAAAGCAGTGATTTTGCAGAACCTCTCTTTCTCTCTCTGTCTCTCTCCTTCTCTAAGACCTCACAATGGGAACTGCAGCGGCTCCTCAGGTAGCTCCCCCTAGTTGGGGTGCACCCATGGTAAATGTTGTCTGCGTCTAATAGCATGGAGTGGACCCGCATGGCAGGCAGGGCTCACCTGTAGCATTGCCTTCATTTTGTTCTCCAGTATCCAGGCGTTGCTCAGAGGGCGGGTAACGCCTGGGGGATGCAGGGTTACCTGATGGTACACATTTAGAAAAGCAGAGCTGCTATTTTCACATGCAGCACTACAAACTGAGGAAGGCTTCATTTGAAAAATGTTTTTTTTAATATGTACTGGAGAGTGATGAAGAGACAAATGATATGACTAAATTAGGAGGCTGTTGCTTGGAAACACCTTCTCATACTCTAAAATAAATACTTCTTTTTAAAGCTTGATTGAGTCACTAAATTCACTTTGTGTAGCTCAACTCTTTATTGACACACATGCTTTTTTGGCAAACAGTTTCCCTCCACGATACACGTGTCAGTAAAGAGTTTTAGTAAGGGTTTTGTGTTGCGGGCTTGTCTTTGTTTCTTGTGTGCCGTTTTGTCTGTCTTAAGTCTCACTTTTGTGTGCCTTTGGGAAGCATCAAAACATTCTGTAGCCATTTTTGTCATGTGGTGGTTTTGCGGCATCTCTCATTTATGTTATATAGTAACATCCAAACCCTCCATCTCCGTCCCATTCCCTCCACACCTTTAGACCATTCCTATGGGTCCTGCTCCTTATTTGGGGACTTACCCCAGCTTCACCATGGTAAGATAGCCCTTCCAGTCCAGCCTAGTAATGTTCCATCAGGACATTACCGGCTATTCATGGACAATCAGCTACTTAGGTGTCCCTCCCTCTGCCATCAGATGGCAGACATTCTGTCTAATTGTTTGTTTATCCCTCCATTTTTCCATATCTAAGGCACCAGTTGCCGGAGCACCAATGATGCCCATGGCCAGGCCAGGCTTCCCTGCTGCAGGAGTGACCCCGGGGGCACCGGTAACATGGTCCTAATTGAGTTACTAATTACAAACCAAAGCAAGAGTGAATGCTGAAATCAGATGTGTTTACAGATGTCTCCTGGAATGGCCCAAAGCCCCAGAAAGCCCCCACCACCCAGGAACGCTCTGGATGACCTGAATATCAAGGACTTCATGTAGACTGCCTGACCCATTAACCCCAAGGTAGGTGTGCTCATTATTTGTATATCAGCTCTTCATAAATGTGTGTGCATGTAGGTGTGTGTAAATAATGTTATCTGCAATGCACCAGTGTAACACTCTCCATTATTTACCACATAATAGATCATGTTTCATGCAGCAGATGAGGCCAGCACTCAGGGTAATTTGGGGTTCGTGGAATAGCTTTGTATGAAATCATAACACAACCTAAATCAGCTACTTTGGAGTGAGTTTACTTCTCTACTTATTAATATTTTTTAGAAAATTACTGTTTAGAGATAGATGAGATGGAAGTAAAAATTCTAAATATAAAGGTATAAACTTGAATTTCAAATCAGGTCAAAGGCCAAAGCGGTTAAAAATGAGTAAAGCTATTTCTTAAAGTGCATCAGGATAAGACTTGAATGTACCATACAGAAACTTGAGTAAGTCCAGTTCTCTTGTTATGTTACAGTCCTAATCTCCCTTTTTCTACCCCCTCTGTAGGTTTGTCATTGTGTCTGGAGATCTGTGGATATGGATGTCTGCAACCCCCTCACCCCTCCAGCCCCTTCTTCAGCCAGCCAGCCATCATCTCTTTGGTCTTTTCCCTCTAACCCACCCACCAGCCTTGACTCTTGTAACAAACTCTCCCTACCTATCTAATGTTGTAGCACAACTGTGAATATGAACCCTAGATACAGAAAACCAGAGTTATGTTTCAATGTGTGTGAGTGTGTGTGTATTTCAGTGTTAACCTTTACTTAATATACTATGGAAACATAAAATGACCCCAAAAAAAAAAAAAGTCAATAAATGTGTATTTAGAATCATTCAGCATATCAGCTGACTTGGAATGGTGGAAATATGTTGGTTTCTTTTTGCATCAACCAGACAAGGACTGTGTTTAAAGTTAAATGTGGACTGTGTTCAGTGTAACTTCACTCGCCAACCCCTAAGTCACTCTCCTCTGACCCAGATGTCCAAACCAGTACTGAGCGATGTTTCATGTCATTATTAACTTGCTTGTACCCATATTGGCTTGGGATTCATCCTCCCACCTGTCAACCTCACGACACAAAAGCACCATAACTGAACTTGCACTGTTCATCCGGACTTACAATTGAGCACATCTGCTTTCTGTTTTACATTCAGTTTCCTTCATTTTGACATTGTGTGAAACATGCAAACAAAAAAAACAAAACAAAAAAAATAAGATTGTGAACTGTTTGAATTGACATATGCATTTTAGACTACTTTAAAAGACAGATTTTACATATTTTCAGTAATCTTTATTGTTGAAAAAGTATAAATATATTTATTTTTAGTTACTTTAAATTAAAGAAAAAGAGCAAGTTCGCATAAATTTCCACGTTTTCTTTGTTCTTACTTCTCTGTCAAAAAGAGATGGTATTGAATGGAGTGTGTTCTGTGGCGCCCCATGCTGGTGTGAAGTGATACTGCAATATAGCATGCAACAGGCCGATCTGGGATGCATTTTAATAATCTCAGTGAGCTTCTTTTTTTTTTGTCTTGGTCTTAAACACAAGTAGAAGTTACAGTGAAGGACAAAGTTTGTGTGATTGCAATGGGGTTTTAGCTCTTTTTGGGTCATTTCTGATGCAGCAGCAGTCGGTACATTTGCTCATGTGCAGCCTCTGGATTTTACAGGCTTACTGTAAAAAACGCAAGTGTTCACTGGATGTTTCTCTGTGTTACTTATTTTAAAAAGGTGACTGTACTTTAATCCATTGTGGCATTAAGTGGTATTAATTGTTGAAAGAAAAATAAAAGACGAGTATGACACATTAAAAAGATTGTGGATAAGTAATGTTTGTTTGGTAAACGAAGGCTGATTGCCCATTGTTTTTGGTTTTTGTTATAATGAATGGTATCGTCCACTCTCCTGGCCTGCATGTGAGTCCGAATTAGATGCAATAAAAGGCAAATAACACATCCAAATATCCTTTGTTGTAAGCCACTTCTTGCTTGTTTTTTTAAAAAAACAAAACAAAATAATACTGTCATTTCCCCCCAAAAAAATACATGTATATCAATCAAGGCACAGACAATCCAAAAGTTCAAAAAGACATGATACAAAAATCCCCAGAAGAAAATATTTTTTCAAAAAAGCAAAAAACAAAAAGTTACTGTATATTGGATTAATGCTGTTTTGTATAGAATTACCAGTGATTAGATAAAGCAGTCTCACATATTTCACTGTTGCTTTAAGACAAGACACTTTCCATAAACCTAACTATTACCAGTTCATATCTAAGCCCAAAGCTAACCTGAACACAATTTACACCATAGTCCTAAACCTGAGTCCTAATAAAAAACATTTATTCTTATGTGGCTTTTGCCCTGATAGCAATTACTCCCCATGTAGTATTTGATAGAGAAATGGTCAAAATGGTTGCGTAAAATACAAGGCCACACACACACATGCATACTAAATCTAATACTGGTAAATAACTTAATTGTCATAACTTCAGATGTGTGCATGCAGAAAGTTTCGGTTCATAAAGCGACAGTGTAGCTTGTTTGCATTTGCTTCCATATATGGTTTCTAACTAACATCCATATTGAGAACCCACTTTGTTTCATTGACAGCACATTGTTAACTGCTTCAGTAACTTGTATAAATTTAATAAAATATAATGCACACAACTGCAAACATGTAAAAAATTTACACCACTTCAAAGATGCACAAACAACTGGACCACTAATCTTGCAAAATGCAGGTTTTGGCTTATCTGATCCTGTAGAAAAATCATGCAAAAAAGATGGCTGCTTTCCCATGAAGGGTTGTGCTATTTTTGTAACTTTCATGTAAATTAAATCCCACGGAAACTTCTAGAGAAAGAACAGATTAGTTTATTTGCAAAATGATGCTGCCAATACTACAAAAGTTATGTTGAGGAATGTTGTCACTTAATTTGCATTGGCACAGGACTTCCTCTTTGAGTTTTCTTTATGCTACTGTGGTATCAGGACATTGAGAGCAGAACCTGTGGCTCACACCACAGCATTCTCAATCCCAGCACAACTCAGGATGGATACATCAAATTTCACTATGGTCAATATTAACTTCTCTACTCCTGGATTCCCTCAGCCCTCTTGGAACCAAGGTGGTCTGATCCCTGCAGTGATCTTTTCCTTCTGCCTTCTTCTCGGAGTTCCTGGAAACATTGCTGTGATTATACTCAAGCCAAACTGGGAGCATCTGTCCAGTCTGTGTCAGAGTTTAGTGCTGAATCTTGCCATTTCTGACCTGCTCAGTCTGCTGACCCTTCCACTGTGGATTTACAACTTACTCTTTGGATGGACATTCGGCCTGGTAGCCTGCAAAGCTCTAACATACTTTGTGTACTGTACAGTTTATAGCAGCCAGTTGACTGTGACGGCGTTGAGCATCCAGCGCTACCTTGTTGTTGTGCGTGGACGGCAGTGCTGTGTACAAAAAGGTACACTGTTGGTTCTGCTTTGGCTGGCAGCTGTTACTTTGTGCATCCATGCTGTGGTGGCTGAACAACTAAAGAAAGATGGCCAATGGATCCGTTGCCTGCCTTGTTATTCTTCTGACACAGAGTGGGTGGCTGTGCTGGTAACAGAGAACCTGTATGGACTTATTACATTTTCACTTGTCACATTCTCATATGTATGCCTCCACAAAAAGGTTAACCGGTCAGCCTTTTTCAACAATCCACAGACAACCAGGCTTGTTATTAGTATCACTGCAAGCAATTTCATTCTGTTTGCTCCAGTTCATGTGGTCAATGTGCTGGGCGTGTTGGCGATAAGTCTAAAAAACAAGAAGCTACTGGAGTTTTGTGAAGACAGTTGGAGTGTAGCTAAGTCCATTACATTTATTAATAGTTCCCTAAATCCACTCTTGTATGCTTTTATTTCTATTAAATTCTGTCGTCTTTGCCCAAAGGACTCCCCCCATCCAGATGAGGGGACTCCCCAAACACCTGACATTGCTACAATTGCAGAACTTTGACAACAATGTCTATAAAAACTGAAATTAGTTTGTTTCTTTTTATTTCTTTTCATTCTATTAATATCTGTCTGTTTCATTGTTCTGTGATTGCTTGAACCAAGGAAGTTGATTTTGCCCCTTTGACCTTTGTTTATGTAAAATTGATCAAGTTATATCACTGTGTCTCTACATTTGGTTTACCAATTACGTTTCTACCCACAGACACTTCCAAGTAATATTTTAATTAGTTTTCCTTATATGCCACTTTTTTCTTTGTTCACACTATTACGTCTGGTATTTGTATGTCACCTGTACCTATAATTACTGCTTGGTTTTTTTTATAGCTTTTCCAAATCCTACATATTCATACACTGCTTTCATATTTGTTCTCTTCTTACTCTCAGTCACAACAGATTTGTACTGAATTCTGTCTGGAAAATATGGTGAAAATTTCAAATGAATCTTGTGTTGACATATTTCTTCCTTTCAGAGAAATGGATACATTTATATTGATTTGGTTTATTTATTGCCCCAATTCAACTCAAATAATTGTTATAAAACAGTACAAGTTCTATTGTAGGGTAGCAATAGGTAAAAGGTTCGCCATCTACATAAACCCAACCAAAAGCATCAAGTTCAGAATGTTGCAGAAATATTTCATGTGAAATATAGCATGTGTGGAAATGAAAACTCCCTTTTGACAGGAAGGCGCCTTCAATAGTGTCAGTGTACAACTAACCTAGGCTGTGAAAAGACAGAGTAGGCAAGCAAAAACCACAGAGGCCAAATTAATTTTTAGCTACTAGGGTGTTATTTCCTTTTGCCATTTGGGTTTCACAACACATGCTTCATTTCCTGGAACATCTGAGAAACGAAGAGCAAGATATTTATCAGTAAAGCACCTGAATCACAACTAGATTTCAATTAGTTATGTAGTTTGAGAAGTACCTACGCAGACTCTGTTACCGCAATTTTAGCCTCAGCTTTAAGTAAAAATGTTGATAAGTAAAACGCACGGCCATGTTCAATATATTAAATCTGCTCTGATGTTTCTCGTTTGTTAGATCAAAAGTACCTTATGAAATTAACAACCTTTAAGCAGAGATTAAAAATATTGTTTTCTTTTGGCCCACATCTAATTATCTATCTGTCCGTACGTCCATCCTACTCTGTTTATGTAATTAGGAAGCATTTTTGTTTCTGGTGTTACTTGATTAACAGAATTGGAAATCCACTTAATATTCTGTTTCCAAATATTTACCAAAGATGGCATATAAAAGGTACACACATTGATCGAATACATCAATGTGTGTATTGAGTGTCTTGCCTGGCCTCTCTGCAAAGTACTTGTTTCTAAATTCGGTGTAAAAATAAACATGGTTTCTTCAGAATCTACAATGACTTCATTCACACTCATGCAGCTATTAATAAGACAGTAATATATTAAATATCAGCATCCCATTTTCACAGGTCCTCTTTGACCATACCCACTTTACTTGGGCTAGACATTTTGCAAGCATCTGCTGTGAAGAGCACAGGATTGGACAGAGACCAAAAAAAATGGATCAACTTAATTTCACGGTGGCCATTCTTAACATGTCTTTTCCAGGACACCAACCACATTCCTCCTGGCACTACAGCGGTCTCATCCCTGCAGTGGTGCTCTCCTTCTGCTTTGTCCTGGGAGTACCTGGAAACCTCGCTGTGATTCTTCTCAAGTCCAAATGGAAGATCTCCAGTCTGAGCAAGAGTTTAATGCTGAATCTGGCCGTTTCTGATCTCCTCGGGTTGCTGATCCTACCACCAAAGATATATGCTTCGTTATTTGATTGGACGTTTGGCTTGGTGGCCTGTAAGATTCTGAATTATCTTCTGTACATCAGCATTTATGGCAGCCAGTTGACTGTGACTTTGTTGGGCATTCAGCGTTACCTACAAGTGGTCCACCAGGAGAAGTGGCATCAGGGACGAAAGCGAGTGCGGCTGGTCCTGCTCTGGCTGGTTGCCATCATCCTGTCCATCCCGGTTTTGGTGGTTCGGCAGGTGATAACAGAGCAGCAGTGGACTGTCTGCCAACCACAGTACTCCTCTGAGGCACAATGGGTGGTTGTGTTGCTAATAGAGACGCTGTTTGGATTGGTTTCTGTGTTGCTTGTGGCGATTTCATACATTCGTCTTAACAGGAAAATTAAACATGCCGTGTTTTTCAACAATCCCAAAACAACTCGGCTGATTACCAGCATCATTGTGAGTAATTTTGTTCTCTGGGCTCCATTCATTACCATAAATGTACTCGGTGTGGTAGCCATCTGTGCTAAAAACAAAGGCTTGTTAAATTTTTGCTCAAACACATGGGTCCTTGTCAAAGCTCTTACAGTTGTAATTAGGTGCTTAAATCCTCTCTTGTATGCATATAACTCGAGAAAAAGTATGACATCTTAGAATGCCAAAAACAATGTGTTCTTTAGTTTTGTTTTTCATATGAAAGGGACCATACTATGTAATCTGTCTGTTAATTATTTCAATTCTGACGTTAAATAATTCACATTTGACGCAAGTGGGAATATATTTGTTTTTTTTACATTATCTTGCCCAACAACATGAGCCGATTTCTGTCTCTGCTCATAAACTAATTTAACAAAGAATACTGTACTCTTTCTCTTTTGGTTGCAATGCTGACATATTAAAAATATCTCTCCACACAATCTGTGCACAAGCATGGATATCCAAAAATGTCAATCTCTGGATTTACAGTGGTGGTAGAGACAACCTAACCTAACAGGAACTGAAAACAAATCTTCAATATTTAACTGACAGCAGACATTTCCCGCTTTAGAGGCCGTATCTCCTGAAATAAGAATAAATATTCTTCAGTTTGTGCTTCTAAGAAACAGGTAACATGTTAAATGTGAATGTCTTTCTCCTGAAACTGTCGTTTTTATTTCTGGTGGAGTTCACCTTTATTTGGTGAGCAATACTTTGCTTACCACATAATGCAAACACTTCCGCTCACACGTGGCTTATAAATGTCACACAAACCATAAGGGAGTGGAAAATTGTCAAAACCAAGATTTGAACAAAGATTTAGCAAAAACAGGAATATGCAAAATACATTGGTTTGTTAGCACTCATGTACGCTACAGCCAGAAGATTTGTGCTTCGTTTTCTTTCTACTGGTTACAAACAAGTTACAAAAGCAAAAACATCTGTAGAATAGGACAAAAACAAATATTCTACCCTGCTTGTTTCTCAGCTCAGATTTTGGGGGAAATATTGAGTTTCTCTTTTAAAAATGTGTTTACCAGAGTTTAATAGCATCCACCACATAGCAAAATGGCAGATATTTTGTTGATATGCCCAGTGCTAATACATTGAATGCATTCTGTTCACAGCGCATTCATGTTGAGAGAGGTAGAAAAGGATTGTGCAGATATGATTCCTTCAGTAAAAGTGAAAAAGTTCAGCAATTTCAGAACTTTTCAAAAGATTGAAAAAGGTCAAAAAAGATGTTTGACATTCAATCTACCAACTCAAAGAACAATCGGTTCCAAAACACTGCAGAATGTTTTTCAGTCACCTGTTTATGCAGCTGGGTGGGAACAAAGCACCTCACCTGCTTTTTAGAGAAATACAATTTCTACATAATCACACATTTCCCGTTTTTGCTTCCAAGTTCTACTTTGACTGGCCCCCATCACTTGTTCAGAGAACAACTTTGCTAACAAGGTCCGGCATGGAGCAACTCACTTCCACTGTGGTCAACGGCAACTTCTCTACTGCAGGACATTTGTCGCAGCACCCCTGGAGCACCAATGATCTCGTCACTGCCGGTGTTGTCCATCTGTTTTCTCCTGGGAGTTTCTGGAAACGTCGCTGTGTTAATACTCAAGCCCAACTGGCAGAATATGTCCAATCTGAGTCAGAGTTTAATGCTGAATCTTGCCATTTCTGACCTGCTCAGTCTGCTGACCCTTCCACTTTGGATTTACGCATTTCTGTTTGGCTGGAAATTTGATCTGGTGCCATGCAAACTGTTAGGATATGTCGTGTACTGCAGCATTTATGCCAGCTTACTGACTGTGTCTGAACTAAGCATCCAGCGCTACCTTGTTGTGGTGCGCCAAAGAAGGAGCCATCAGGTAAAAAGAAGAGCACTGCTGTTCATGCTCTGGTTGGTTGCCAGTATCTTGGCCATCCCTGGTTTGGTGGTTCGGAATCTGCAAACCAATCAGCAATGGATTAGTTGCATAGGAGAGTATTCTTCTGATGCCCAGTGGGTGGCTGTTCTGCTAACGGAGACCGTGTTTGGATTCATTTGTTTTATTCTCGTGGCATTTTCATATGTCTTTCTTCAAAAAAGAGTTAACCAGTCAGCCTTTTTCAACAACCCACAGACAACCCGACTATTCACCAGTATCATTGTCAGTTTTTTTGTTCTTTGGGCTCCATATCATACAATAAATGTGCTGGGAGTGGCAGCAATATGTTTGAAAAATGACAATTTGCTCAACTTTTGCCATGAAACCTGGAACGTTTTTGGAGCAGTGACGTTCATAAACAGCTGTCTAAATCCACTCCTGTACGCATTCACTTCTCGTAAAATGTGCAGAGTTTGCAGAAAAACAGAAGAGTTGCAGCAAAGGTTCAGAAATTCCCAAACTGAGATCAGTACAATCACTGAAACTTGATAACATCAATATGTTTTGACACCTTTTAAGCAAAACAGAAATGTTACTTTCAGAGGCAAAAGCGCTTTTGTGTTATCTTTTACGTGCAATGTCAGATTACTTTTTTCAGAGCAGGTTATAGAGCACTTTTGTTAATCACTTGTGAAATTAAATTATAGCACAAAAGATCTTTATGAAAATGTTACTTGGTCTAAGGGATTTCTGTCTTATCTATTTTTATTTCTATTTTTTACACAGAACAAAATCTCTCTCAAAGCTTCAATTAGTGTTGTTTATAACTAAGATAATTTTGTGTTTAACTTCCTTCCTGTGTTGGTGGACCTAAATCTGGACCAAGATAAAAAAGACTAAAATGTTTAGTGGAATCAGGCTGGTTGAAAGAAGACAATGCATTTTTTTATGTTAATCTGTTGCAGCTAAATTCTACTTTGGCGATCTGTGACATTTAGGATTTTGTGAACTAAAATGCCAACAAAGAAGCACATCGGCAGTTATGTTGCAGAAGTGATATGTATGTTTTTGCCTATGTCTACCACAAACCGTGTTGCCCTGGACATCCTCGTCACAAAAATAGCAAGCACTGATAGAAAGCAGTGATGATTCAATTGCTTAGAACAACAGTAACAAATGACTAGAGTTGGTTGATCAAGTTTCCGGCTTGATTAAAAAAAAGGTTGGATAGATTGTACTTATGTGATAGACACAAGTGCAATCTAACCAAGCTTTTTTTTTTTGACTGAATATAGAAACCTAACCAACAAAATCCAGCCCCTTTTTAGTGGTTCTTTTCTTTCAATTCCTCTTAATCTGACCAGTTTACTTCCGTGACAGCACATTTAGCACTGTTAACAGCATCATGAGTAATAACTCCTACATGAACACCTCTGATTTCTCTCTACCTCCTCGCACCTGGGTGCCTAACGGACTGATCCCGGCGGTTCTGCTGTCCTGCTTTCTCCTAGGAGTTCCTGGAAACATCGCAGTGATTCTTTTAAAGCCCAAATGGCAGAACATGTCCCACCTGAGCCAGAGTTTGATGCTCAACTTGGCCATTTTTGACCTGCTCTCTCTGCTTACTCTCCCACTGTGGATTTACGCTCTGCTCAACGCCTGGATATTCGGCCTTGAAACCTGTAAGCTTTTAGGATTTCTTGTGTACTGCAGCCTTTATGGCAGCTTGCTGACTGTGACAGCGTTGGGTGTCCAGCGGTACGTTGTGGTGGTGAACCAACGGAGATGCGCTCAGGTACAAAAAATCCACCTGCTGGTTCCACTCTGGTTTGGCGCTCTGATCCTGTCTATCCCTGCTTTGGTGACGGAGCAGGTGGAAACTAAAGAGCAGTGGACGTACTGCTACCCTCAGTTTTCATCTCGGGCTCAGGGATTGGCAGTGCTGCTGTCAGAGACCACATCTGGCTTTGTTTCCTTTTTTGTCGTGGCCTATTCCTACATTCGCCTCCACAGGAGGATTAGACAGGCAACCTTCTTCAACAATCCACAGACGACCAGGCTGTTGACCAGCATCATTGTAAGCAATTTTGTTCTGTGGTCTCCCCTTCATACCATAAATGTACTGGCCCTGGGAGCTATCTGCTTCAAAAATGACAGTTTGTTGATGTCTTGTGTGAACATATGGGACATTGTCAAAGCAATTGCTTTTCTAAATAATTGCATTAACCCACTGCTGTATGCCTTTAACTTCCATAAACTGTGCAGAGTTTGCATAAGCAAGAAGAATCGGCATATCCTTCACCAACACTGGAAATAAGTACAGTTGCAGAAACTATGATTATCAACTGAAAATGTCATTTTTGTCCACAGAACAGAGCAAAGCTTTGAATGAAAACTTTTGTCCTCTGCTATAAAAAACTGTAAAAAATGGGTTTAAATTTGAAATCTAAATTTTAGGCAACATTATAGTCTTCACTGAGAGGATTGTGCTGGAATTGTTTTGTTAAGCTTTCCTGTGTTTATATAATACCAATTTTGAATTTGGGTTTCCAATTTTGTTTTTGTTTTTTACAGAGTTGGACTAGATATATATTGTAAAGTAATTAACCTTGTGCAAATATGAAAATCATGGCCTTCTATAGACTAATATTTACCAAAGTAGGTAAATTGCTGAGTTAATTTCTACATCAGAACGTTTACATTCTTCAAAACTGTTGTTGTCCATTCTGGCATCTAAACTAAACACAGCCTTTTCTGCAGCAAATCTTTTGTATTTCTATTTGTACAGTAAAATCAGTTTTCCACACCGGTGTGATGCTTGCCTAAAAACAGAAGAGCAACCATGTTTGGCGCTTTTGGCTGTGAGCATATTAAAAATTACAAATGCACAACATATATTTTAAATTGTATTTTAAGTTTTTTTCTTCTTTTTATCTAAACAGGAAAACATAAAAAAAAAAAACGCTTTAAAAACCATAGTATGATGATCAGGTGATTGTAATCTGTCTACTATTGTTCAGGCTGTAACAACATTCAGCTTCCGAGCTTCGATAATCCAAGATACAAGGTTTTCACTGAATACAGTTTTCACAAATTACAAACTGTACATGAAGTAATCAATAATCCTAGTTGAATATTCCAGCCCTGATGAAACCAGTCCATTTATTTTGGATCTTATGCTTAGAAAGCATGTCAAATTTCAGTTTTATTTTTCAGAAGTGGAATAACTGTATCACAAATCTTAAATAATGTTTGGTTTGCTTTGTCTAAATTGTGATGGATGAGATGAAGTCTGGACTCCAAAGCTTTATTTAAAATATTGATAGAAATTAGGGTTGACAGGAAAACTTATTAGCTTTGTGCATCTACCCAAATCTGCCACTTAAAATGTTAAATTAACATTTAATTTCAGTTATTCAGTGTAGAACTGTTTCACTATAGGACTAGTTGAAGTTAAAGATTGCAGATGTTTACATACAGCCTTTCTTGGTAAAATAATTTCTTCATTTTAAACCAGTGTGTTTTGATATTTGAACCGATCAGCTGAAGCCTTTTATACCTCACGCCATGTCTTCATCTCACTGACTGTATTACACCACACATGTATACTTTCATAATACCTATTGTTAAGAATTAAAAAGAGGAATAACTTGATTTAGCTCGTTAACTTATTTCTCCTGTCCTAGGTTCCTCTGCGTCTGTATACGTGTGCAGGGAGAAAGACCAATCATAAGACGTCAGACTTCAGATACCCAGAGTTTTATCCAGAGAAAATCAATGCAAGAAGAATGTTACAATAAGCATATCACCTAGATTATCAAAAGTCCAAGACATGACAAAACAGAAACAATTAACTGAGTAAAAAGGACAGAAACAAAAATAGACAAAAGATGCATCTTCTGGGAAACTCTCACTCAGCACAAAGAGATTCGGACTTCTGCTCTAAAACAAACCATTTTATATAATAATGTGTATTCCCTTCATTTAAATATATGCATTAGGAGGTGTGTTTTTCCTTTGTGTGGGCTGTCCTAAATGTTAATTTTATTGGGGCCTGCCCATAGCAATGCATAAGGAGAGCAGTGAGTCACTGCCTCCATGCATTGCATGGCAGGCACCTATTAATCTACACCCAATAGAATGTCTCTTTATTTATTTATTGGGGCCTGCCTAGCAATGCATAAGGAGAGCAGTGACTGACTTGCGAAGCAAGCAACGTGGACTTGCGAAGCAAGTCAGTCACTGCCTCCATGCATTGCATGGCAGGCACCTATTGTTCTTCACCTAATAGAATGCCTCTTTATTCTTATAACTTATTCTTCCGTGGACCGGAATGCGGCTCGCACTGCTGCGAGCCCACCCACAAAAGTGGTATCAAAACGTGCGGCTCGTTCCCGGCATTGGACCTATTACTTTTATGGGGAATCGGCGTTACGACGGCGACGTAAAAAGCTAAAAACGAGCAAAATTTCCAACTGCCGAACCGAAAAGCTTAACTGCCAAAACCTAGAGTGTAACTGACGTTACACTCACAAAAGTGGTATCTTTTGACCATTATATGTGTTATTTAATCCAATCACTGTTACACATGGGTTTAGATTGGCAATTTAAAATTGCCAATCTCAAGATCAATGAAAACTTCAAAATAAAAGCCTTAAGATTTGTTTGTGGCTAATGCAGCGCCACAGGCGCTGCAATGATATTAGCTTGCATGATTTTTTTCCCTCCGCATTAACATCACAAACATTAGAATTTTATTGTTCCCCACTAGTGCACTGCCATAGGCAGTGCAAGAAGATTATCCTGCATTATCCTATTTCCCTTACTTATTACCCATGTTTAGTATACTGAAGGCAGTAAGTCATGCTTGTGACAGTAAGTCATGCTTTCTTTAGCATGGATGCTAATGTTTAGCATCAGAACACTGGGTCCAAATCGACGGGCACACTTTGGCAGGCCCTGGTTAAAGTTCTTCAGGAATTTTCTAGTATATTGATAATATTTATATTGCTAATATCACTTTTCTTTGGTGGTGGGTTTTTGGTATTAAGTTGTTTACTACATTGGGTGCACACATTTTAGTAAATGCTTGGTTTATTTAGAATATTAACTATTTTGTTTTTGGTTGAGTTGAAGGACTGGCTGGGAGGACTTGATTGTCTCAAACCAGTAATTGGAACGAACCATCAATCTCAGCAGGGACTTTGATGTGGAAGACTCCTCCTCTCGCTCTATTGTTATAATATTTATGGTGTTAGGTTGTGATTTGAATTGTTATTTATGTTTATGTATTGATTCTTTTTGTTTTCTCCCTCACCCCTCCTTGTGTGTGTGTGTAGGCTAGCCTTTGTATATAAATTCCCCTGTGCGTTCATTGAGAAGAGTCAGTTAGTTTTTGTTGAGTTGGTTGAGTTGCTTGTTTTTGGGCCCATTTTTCTTAAATTTCTTTTTGAGATTTGTTGTAAAAATATCTTTTGTTAAGCTCTTTTGAAAAATTAAATAGTTATTTTTTTATATATGCCTTTGTCCTTGAGTTTGCTGGTCGGACCATTACATTGATCATAGATAGACAAGTTCCTGTTCACAATCAACTACATGTATTTGGTATTAACTGCCTTTGTGAAACACAATAATTCTGTGGAAAAACGGATAATTTCTTCTAATTATATAATTCTGTGGAGATTCATAGATTAGTGTCATAATATTTTAAAGGTGACTTTATTCTATCTTTTAAAACATTTTTAGGTTGACATCATTAAACTGCAATAATAGATTGTCTCCAATGTGTACTGTTTCTTTTTTCATCATATAGAGGATCTGGAACAATAGCCGTTTCAGTAAAATACTTCATATAACTTTATTGTACTTGTGTTGCAGCATCTTTAGCTTCTCTCCTACAATAATGGCTTCTTCTGAATGTAGATGTTCCTGGTTAAATCAAGGTATTTTGTAAATGAAAAAATATTCTATTTGGTGTATGTTTTACTAAAAATTCGGTAATTCACTCTGATGCAATCTATTGCAGTCTGTTCCTCTTTGACCCTTCTGTTTGAGAAGCATATAGAAATTACATGCAATTAAAAGAAATAAAATAATTTCATGTAATTAAAAGCACGATTTTAATTACATGTAATTAAAAGCACAATTTTAATTACATGTAATTAAAAAAACAATTTTAATTACATGTGCTTTTAATTAATTACATGTAATTAAAAGCACGATTTTAATTACATGTAATTAAAAGCACGATTTTGATTATATGTAATTAAAAGCACGATTTTGATTACATGTAATTAAAAGCACGATTTTGATTACATGTAATTAAAAGCACGATTTTGATTACATGTAATTAAAAGCACGATTTTGATTACATGTAATTAAAAGCACGATTTTAATTACATGTAATTAAAAGCACGATTTTAATTACATGTAATTAAAAGCACGATTTTAATTACATGTAATTAAAGCACGATTTTAATTACATGTAATTAAAATGTAATTAAAAGAACGATTTTAATTACATGTAATTAAAAGAACGATTTTAATTACATGTAATTAAAAGAACGATTTTAATTACATGTAATTAAAAGAACGATTTTAATTACATGTAATTAAAAGAACGATTTTAATTACATGTAATTAAAAAAACGATTTTAATTACATGTAATTAAAAGAACGATTTTAATACATCTTAATTACATGTAATTAAAAGAACGATTTTAATTACATGTAATTAAAAGAACGATTTTAATTACATGTAATTAAAAGCACGATTTTAATTACATGTAATTAAAAGCACGATTTTAATTACCTGTAATTAAAAGAACGATTTTAATTACATGTAATTAAAAGCACGATTTTAATTACATGTAATTAAAAGCACGATTTTAATTACCTGTAATTAAACTAACGATTTTAATTATATGTAATTAAAAGCACGATTTTACATGTAATTAAATGAACGATTTTAATAACATGTAATTAAAAGAACGATTTTAATTACATGTAATTAAAAGCACGATTTTAATTACCTGTAATTAAAAGAACGATTTTAATTATATGTAATTAAATACACGATTTTACATGTAATTAAATGAACGATTTTAATAACATGTAATTAAATGAACAATTTTAATTACATGTAATTAAAAGAACGATTTTAATTACATGTAATTAAAAGAACGATTTTAATTACATGTAATTAAAAGAACGATTTTAATTACATGTAATTAAAAGCACGATTTTAATTACCTGCAATTAAAAGAACGATTTTAATTATATGTAATTAAAAGCACGATTTTACATGTAATTAAATGA